TTTATAGTTTGCTTTTTTGTCCCCCGCTTTCACTGAGAGTGGGGGATATTAATTTGGGTCTGTCTGTCCGTCCGTCTGTATTTCTCTCTGTCTATAACACTTTCGTTTCCGCGCGATGTCTCGAGAACTCCCTGTGGCCTAAAGAAGATCCATATTGATTTTGAGGTCAAAAGGTCAAAGTTCAAGGTCTTTAATTCATACATTCTGTCTGTGTGTAACACTTTCGTTTCCGGGCTATATCTCAAGAAGCTTTTGAGCTTTTGCAATGAAAATTTTATACCATAACTCCCCTATGACCTCTCCGAGGGCTCGCCCCTCTCAAAATGTCCCGCCCCGTTTTTTTTTTTTTGGTCCCCCGCTTTCACTGAAAGTGGGGGATATTAATTTGGGTCTGTCTGTCCGTCCGTCCGTCTGTATATTTCTGTCTGTCTGTAACACTTTCGTTTCCGCGCGATATCTCGAGAACCCTTTAAGCTTTCGCAAAGAAATTTTGCATAGCAACTTCCTATGGCCTAAAGAAGAACCCTATTGATTTTAAGGTAAAAATTTGGAAGGTCAAGGTCATTAATTGATAAATTCTATCTGTTTTAACACTTTCGTTTCCGCGCGATATCTCGAGAATCCTTTGAGCTTTTGCAATGAAATTTTACATAACCACTCCCTGTGGCCTAAGGAAGACCCCTATTGATTTTGAGGTCAAAAGATCAAAGTTCAAGGTCGTAAATTCATACATTCCATCTGTGTGTAACACTTTCGTTTCCGGGCGATATCTCAAAAAGCTTTTGAGCTTTTGCAATGAAATTTTATACCATAACTTCCTATGGCCTCTCTCGCCCCTATAATGAATATGAACGTTATATGTGACCTGATGTTTGCATTTAATTTGGTGTATAATCAAGTGCCTCCGTGGTCTAGGGGTATGATTCTTGCTTAGCAAGTGAGAGGTCCCTGGTTCAAATCTAGGACGATCATTTTTTTTTTTTGAATTTTTTTTTTTTTTTTTTGATTAACTTGATATTATTCAACATGTGAAATGAAAAAGTTATGACGTCTGGCGTGTACAAACTCATAAAATCATTATTACAGTGTGATGAATATTCTATATAAAAAGAATCTTCTATACACATATTAAAGAATAAGCAATCAAATTTTTATATCCATATTGGCATTTTTATTTGCTTCAATATACTTGTATACATTTAATAATTCTACAAATCCAAGGGGGGGGGGGGGGAGTCCGAAACCCCCCACCCCCAGAACTGCGCATGCTCTTCTTTTTTCCATAAGCGGGGTACACAAATTCTCTGAATTAGCTTGTTTTTTTAATTCTTATGTACGATATTACCATGTTTACTGAAATAGAATTCTCTGTGACATTCTTTCAATTCAAATACGTCTACCCCTGAAAAAAAAAGACTTGGAACACAGGTAAACTAATATGATTTATTTCGTTTGAGGAACGAATTAAACAGAAATCATTTTCTACTTGGTGATATAATGAATTACTTGTTTGGAATTACAAGTTTTTCATTCGAATACCTGGTTAATATCACGTGGTTGTTCAGAACCAGTCTCGTTAGGAACACAATATAATAAGAGGTGGATAGCTGTTTAAATGCCAGTTTAGGACGACACGTAGAGCACGATAGAAGTTTAAATTTTATCTATATTTATTCAATCCAACATCACGATAAATATTCATATAATTATGGATTTTCATATTTTACATCTAATATGTACATTGTACAATAAAGCTGCTATACGTGTCGTTGCTATGTCCAAATAGTGTGTTGTTGTTTTGTACTTTCATTTGAAAGTAATGAATGGATTTAAGTACAATACCAAGATACACAACTGCTATATAAATGGTTACTAAAAATAGAATACCGGTCTTGTAGAGAAGGAAAACTGGCTCTAGAGTAGGATTTTCCCACGAAAAATGACTCTAGAGTGGGATTTCCCGTACGAAAATCCACATCAGAGTCAATTTTCCGGTGGGAAGGGGCTACTCTGTGTAATAGTTGTAGAGTGCGATTTCCCCTAGAGACCCCCCCCCCCCCCCCCCCGAATATCATGGCTGTACTTTAGTATGGGGAGCATTATTACAAGTGTCTTATTCAAAATGGCGACCAGTTCCATTGAAAATCTCATTTTTCTCAGTAACTGTCCAAACAATTCCTTTGAAGCATTATAGTCTTATTCTTAATTTTCATTTAGTCAAACTGGCTTCTGGTAATCGCTTGATCAAATTTTTAACTGTATCCATGGAAACAAAAAGGAATTTTGTTTTAGATGGATTTTTTTTCTACAATTGTATTGCAGGCTACATGTACATAGTATTGATGTGTAAGGTCTCTCCTAGTTTTTTGTGTTTAAATATTCAAAATAGCTATCGTTGTCATGGAACTAGAAATGGGTCATTTATTTCTAAAAACTTGAAATTTTGCAAAACTTTGAAGAGAGTATTTTCGTTCTGCTTTCAATTAAATCCAGTAATAATTATAATACAAAGCCGAGTCGAGGGGACAATGTTTCGGCTTGCGAAAGCAGCGTGTTTTTTGTTTTTGGTTTTGGCTTTTTTTTTCTTTTTACCCTTTGAAAAATTACTCGATTCAGATTCCAGCAAAAAGGTATGTGGAACCTAACAATATTTCACATTTTCGACTTCTTCTCCAGAACCACTGGGCCAATTTCAACCAAACTTGCCACAAAGTATCCATGGGGTCCGGGAATTTAAGTTTGTTCAAATGAAGGACCACGCCCTCATTCAAGTGGAGATAATTCAAAAATAGTGAAAATTTGGTGCCATGTTTTAAAAATCTTCTTCTCAAGAACCACAGGACCAAAAAGTTGAAACTTTTAGGAAACCATCTTTACATAGTGAAGATTCAAGTTTGTTCAAACTATGACCCCTGGGGGTAGGGTGGGGCCACAATGTGGGATCAATGTTTTACATAGGAATATATAGGGAAAAACTTGTAAAATCTTCTTCTCAAGAACAGAAAAGCCATGATTAGTTATATTGAAATGAAAGCATCCTCATGTAGTGTAGATTCAAGTTTGTTCAAATCATGACCCCAGGGGTAGGGTGGGGTCACAATGGGGGATCAAAGTTTTACATAGTAATATACAATGTATAGAAAAAAATCTTTTTCTCAAGAACAGCAAAGCCTTGTTTAGTCATATTGATATGGAAGCATTCTCAGGTAGTGTAGATTCAAGTTTGTACAAATGATGAACCCTGGGGTTAGAGAGGGGCCACAATACGGGATCAACTTTTTACATAGAAATGTATAGGAAAAATTCTTTAAATTTTTTTTTCTCAAGAACAACAAAGCCATGTTAAGTAATACTGATATTAAAGCATTCTTAGGTATGTAGATTCAAGTTTGTTCAAATCATGAACCCGGGGAGTAGGGTGGGACCACAATGGGGGATCAAAGTTTTACATAGGAATATACAATGTATAGGGAAAAACCTTGAAAAATCTTCTCAAGAACAGCAAAGCCATGATTAGTCACATTGATATGGAAGCATCCTCAGGTAGTGTAGATTCAAGTTTGTTCAAATGATGACCTCCCCTCCACCCCCCACCCCCGGGGGGGGGGGATAGGCTGGGAACACAATCAGGGAACAAAGTTCTGCATATATAGGCAAAAATATTCTTCTCAAGAACAGAAAAGCCATGTTTAGTCATATTGATATGGGAGCATCCTCAGGTAGTGTAGATTCAAGTTTGTTCAAATGATGACCCCCTGGGAAAGGGAGGGGCCACAATGGTGTATCAAAGATTTACAAAGGTATATATTGGAAAAAATATTCTTCTCTAGAACAGAAAAGCCATGTTTAGTCATATTGATATGGAATCATCCTAAGGTAGTGTAGATTCAAATTTGTTCAAAAAATGCCCCCCCCCCCTCCCGGAGAGTAGGGAGGGGCCACAATGGGGGATCAAATTTTTATAAAGGAATATCTAGGAAAAAATCTTTAAAAATCTTCTGTTCAAGAACAGCAAAGCCATTTGTTATATTGATATGGAAGCATCCTCAGATAGTTTAAAATCAAAGTCCCCCCCCCCCCATTATAAACTTCAATACTGAACTGATATGTGCTTTTTTCCTAGCTAATGTGCTCAGGTGAGCGATGTGGCCCATGGGCCTCTTGTTTAACATTGTGACAAAATCTTGCAAAATTCTCCCACTTTCTCTGGCAAACAATATTCAGGTTCCTATTTGAATATAAATCTACAAGAAATATTGCTGATTTCAGGGGAAAAAAAGTTTGTTATTTATCCTTAAAATTGCACATAACTTTTAGGTTCAAAATGCAAATTGAAAAAGTTACACATATATTCAGTAGAAAATAGCTAATGAAGTGAGAGCATTGATTTTTGAAAAGTGACTTTTTCCAGGAAATTTTCTCCTATATAGGTAAATTCTTTTGAAATTTTGAATACATCCTTTATGCTTGACCTTAAATGTGAGGTGGAGGAATTAACATTAGATGCTCTCTAACAGAGCTAATGATTATAATGATGATTATAATGATTATAATGATAAAGGAATATATGTATTTAAGCTTTCTAGCTAGACTAAATCTCAGATGTGCACTTAATATGCATATTATCTTTCCAGCTTCTGATTCCTAACTGCATGGTATTATAACACCAGTCTTGTATGGTAAGACCAGTTTTTTGGCATACTGCAATTTATGCTCCAAATTCTTTAAGATTTTGGAGTTAGTCAATGGTCAAGTAATGATGTCCAAAACTGACCAAACTAGTATACATACTGCATATAGAAATGCATACTTCTAGTCATTTAATGTTTTGAGAAAGATTAGTAATTTGGCACTGGGACTTTCCTTAAACTCTCACTTGAAACTTTCAAAGACGTTGCATCACCGAATATATGTGATTACTGATTCATGCTTTGTCACATGTGACCTAAAGTTTACAGGTGAATGATCAGGTTGAGGCTTCAGTTATAGAAATAAAAAAGTCTGGTAGAAAGTGTTTATTTGAACTTGTAAATAAATATATCTCCTTTACATAAATAATGATAATGAATACATCACAGTCAAATAAGAAATATATTATATCTCTCCTCTCTATAAGGAAACTCACACCCATAAAAAAAACTTACATTCTACAGTACAACTTAAAAGTGTAGTGATATTGTAGCAAAACTGTGACTTTTTTCTGGACTAAACACCTTCTCTAACACAGACAATCATATTTCAAAATATGATGCATGAAATATTCATACAAATAAATTCTGTGGATAAACCATAAGAGTTATTTAAAGAACAATATGAAATCCTCTACAGAATTTTAAACAGTACCAAACAATTTACTAATGCCATCATTTCCATAATAAACATGGACTGTAGTTGTACCAAGTTTACACATGTACACCATTTACATAACACATAAATACTCAATATCTTATAATTAAAAGGTAATCTTATAGTGATCATATTTCCTTTCCTTTAACAACATAATATACCAAAATGAGAAAAATCCTGGATTCTACATACAGCATATTTCATATCATTTTATCAAAGTAGACTTTGAAACATCATAAAATATAACAAAATCTGTAAAATTAATATAAACATGCAGGTAAGATTAAAAAAGGGATCTAATAAAACAAAACTCGAACAAAAGCCAGACAAAACAAGGGAGAGAACACAAGGCGTGAGCAAATCTTGGAGAGTTCAAACAAAATGGCTATCTACAATGGATTACGGTAAATATATACAAAGATTCCCTGTCCATATATTATCTGTTGTGTATTGAAAATTTAGTATTTAGAAATAACAAAGGCAGTTAAAGAGATTCACTGTTACAAGATTTATAGGCACTGTTCCTCTATGTACAAAAGTTTGGCAAACACGGAATATTCGTAACTTACTGGTACTACAAATATAACTTTTTTAATTGTTATCTTGAGCTATAGATAGATATATTATTCACAAGTCTATTCAATTTACATTCTTCCCTTTCCTACCCCCTTCTCCAAATGAAAAGAAATACCAAATATACATATTCCATGGTTAAGTACATGTATTAATGGAATCCGACGAAACTGAAATGTCAAAAGGGGGAGGGAGGGGGTAAATGGGGCAAGAGGAATATTTTGCTTTAAAAATACAACATATAGTAAGGCTCTTATATTTCAGTGTGGGGACAGAGATTTCCAGATATTATAAAATATGCTAAGAGCATTTATCTTAGTAACTTAGAAATAACACAAATATCTATATTAATTACCAAGCCTGTAGGCAGTATATAGTAGATAAATATTAAATTTGATAGTTACTGATTTTATCATCAAAACTGTGGCAGTTCTAAATCCCTGCTTTGAAAGTCTTATAAGAGATTAGACTAACTTATAATAAAAGGAAAATGATAAAAATTTCAATACAGACCTCATTGAAGTAACCAAAAAAAGAAAAGAAAAATAAAATAAACACAACTGCACAACTCTCAATGAAGTTATATACACTGATAATCTGAATTATCACAGAGAAATATCACAGTCGATTCAGCACAATCCTCCCCTGAGATCATGCTTGTACTATAAGTTAGTAGGAGACTCCCACACACCACTTGTTAGGGGACTTGTGATTGGTTACTCAATATGTACATGTATGATGAGACAATACATACAGGTAGGTATCATTTACTTATTTTGCCAGAGATGGTTACTGGCAGTGCAGGAAACTAATTTTGTTACAGCATCGATGCTGATTTGAATGCTTCCTTTGCTTGCTGATTTGAATGCTTCCTTTGCTTGCTGATTTAATGCTAGTAATCCTTATCCTGATGCTGTTTTATAATTAGGTCAATGCTACCGGAAGTAGCATCATGCTACCGGAAGTAGATAATGAATTTCAGCATTGCCGTTTAAAGCAATAAAAGTGCCTTTAACAATTATTTGATCATAATATCTCACTATGTATCAATAATGTGAATACTTTAACCAATGTTCTTTCTTTCTTTTTTAATTTTTTACTGAATTAAAACTCATTGATTTTCTGATGCTAGTAGGATAATGCTGATTTTATGTAGGTCAACGCTGGTTTTATCCTTTGCTTGCTGATGCTGATCCTGGTAATGCTGTTTTTTTAATGCTGATGCTGATGCTAGCTCGATCCTGATGCTACTAATGCTGATGCTGTTTTATGTAACAAAATTAGTTCCCTGCACTGTACAAAGACATAAGCAAGAGAGAATGGTCTCATGAAATATTTTAAGATGCTGTTTTCATGCTGCAATTCCTAACTGACTACATGCTTGAATCATGCTGCTCATGCCGGTGAGCAGTATTTTATTTAATAACATGTTTCCTGCTGGTAACGTAGTACAAGCCCTGCTCTCTTGCTAACTGTCCTTGTAGATCAGAAATTCTGGTATCTTTTAACTGTAAGAGGTGTTCAAGTCTTCGAATTTTTGAATTGAGCATCTACAAAATATGACATGAGAAAAAAAGGTGAACATGCTATAGGTTTCCCCGAATCCAGTATATGCATTATAGTCCGAGAATGAACAAACTTAACAAAACAAAAAAGACTCAGGGTGAAAGTATATGGAAGAAAAATGTAAAACTGAAATAAAAACAGAAGTGATGTTAATGAAATTAGAGGAGGTTTAAGTTGAAGAAGATGTGAGGTGTTATCGTAAGAGGTTATTTCTAGCAGCCATATAATACAGTCTTTGCTCGCGAGAGTATTGTCCTTGGAGTTCAAGAATCCGCGTATCTTTAAGCTGTATAAGATGCTCTAATCGCCTGATTTTGGAATTCAGTATCTACAAAAAACGGAAAATTCTTGAGTTCATTAATGATTTTGTTCTCAAATGCAAAAATAACCCCCTCCCAGTTTTTTTGTGAAATTTGGATCAGCTGATATAAATTGTCTTTCTCTGTTTGTTGTAATCCGTCTGAACTTTAAAAACAGAGATATGTCAATTGAACAAATATCTTTTTATAACCTAAAAACATATAATTCATGCATTCGTTATGGATATATTCTATATTAGTAGGAATATAAGTGATTTTCACTGCTAGTAGTAATCAAAAGAAAAAATTAATAAATAAACCAAAGGGAGATAAGTAATTAAGGGTTCTGAGAGTGCAATCTGGGTAAATTATTTAAGGAAATGTCTTCTGTTGGTAAAATGCATGATTTTATAGTCATTGACAAGCTGGAATTTCATGTCTGCGAGTCTTTCCTCTTTAATTCTGTTTAGTTGTTCTAATCTCTTCACTTTAGTATTTAACATCTACAAAATAAGTCAACAGATCTACAAACCCATCTAGTGTAATAGTGTCACTCATACATATACATGTCTATTGTGCAGTCAGTATAAAATCTAAGGTAAAATCTACTGAATTACCAGTGGTTTCTTAAAACTAGCAGGTCTTTACAGTGTACTTGAAACTGTGTCCTGCCCTATCACACATGCAAACAATTTTTCCTCATTTTGAATTTGCCTGGACAGAAAGATAACTCTCAACTTTGCCTCGCCATCTATGAGATTGAACAACCGGATATATTTCCGAGATGGTCTGATAACAAACCTTATAAGTAATAGTGTTCAACCCAGTTGTAAAAAGCTAGGAGTGACCAGCCAGCTACAAAACATTACCAGTAGCTACATGTATCAGCATTCAATTGACTGTAAATAACCACCAGTGTTCAGATGTAAATAGCTAAGAGTGTCCAATCAGCTGTAAAAATTAGCCATTACCCAGTAATTCAACCAGCTGTAAATACCTACCAGCTTCAACTTTCAGTTGAACTTAACCTTGACTTTGCTTTCAGTTGCCATAGTCACAAAAAAGTATATTTGCACTTTGATGACCTGAGTACTTTATCCTCAAGGAAATGAGAATTATAGTGCTAACTGACTGTTCCTTCATTGTTGACACAGTTTCAAAGACACCAAATTATTTTATTGGTAGCAAATTAAATTCAAAGTGTTGAACCATCTTGTTCGTAACAATTAATCACAGTTCCAAACATGTGTCAATCATCAAACACCTGCTCAGGTTTAGATACTGAGTGGGTCATTGATGAATCTGTCAATTAATTACACTAATTGTTTCATCTAGACACCTGCTCAGGTTTGGATACTGAGTGGGTCATTGATAAATCTGTCACTTACTCTAATTGTTTCATCAGACACCTGCTCAGGTTTGGATACTGAGTGGGTCATTGATAAATCTGTCACTTACTCTAATTGTTTCATCAGACACCTGCTCAGGTTTGGATACTGAGTGGGTCATTGATAAATCTGTCACTTACTCTAATTGTTTCATCAGACACCTGCTCAGGTTTGGATACTGAGTGGGTCATTGATGAATCTGTCACTTACTCTAATTGTTTCATCAGACACCTGCCCAGGTTTGGATACTGAGTGGGTCATTGATAAATCTGTCACTTACTCTAATTGTTTCATCAGACACCTGCTCAGGTTTGGATACTGAGTGGGTCATTGATAAATCTATCACTTACTCTAATTGTTTCATCAGACACCTGCTCAGGTTTGGATACTGAGTGGGTCATTGATAAATCTGTCACTCTAATTGTTTCATCTAGACACCTGCTCAGGTTTGGATACTGAGTGGGTCATTGATGAATCTGTCACTTACTCTAATTGTTTCATCTAGACACCTGCTCAGGTTTAGATACTGAGTGGGTCATTGATAAATCTGTCACTCTAATTGTTTCATCTAGACACCTGTTCAGGTTTGGATACTGAGTGGGTCATTGATGAATCTGTCACTTACTCTAATTGTTTCATCTAGACACCTGCTCAGGTTTAGATACTGAGTGGGTCATTGATGAATCTGTCAGTTAATTACTCTAATTGTTTCATCTAGACACCTGTTCAGGTTCGGATACTGAGTGGGTCACTGATAAATCTGTCACTTACACTAATTGTTTCATCTAGACACCTGCTCAGGTTTAGATACTGAGTGGGTCATTGATAAATCTGTCACTTACTCTAATTGTTTCATCTTTAGCCAAACATTCCATCTCCTTCTCCTCTAGGTAACTCCGGGGGACATTGTCTGATGTGGGGTAGATGTAGATGGAAGGATCAAAGTATCCCTTACCCTCAAAGTGGTAAGATCTGAAAACAATGAATACACCATCAGTAAAATTTATTTAAAATTCTAAAATTCTTTAATCGTCCTGAAGCAATACACAACCCTTCATTTTATTTTAACCAGAATATATAGATAATTAATAAGCAATTTGGATTTTCTTATAACAAAAATACCTATTTGTAATAACCACCAATAAATATAGGTTGTTTTGTTTTGTTTTTTTTTTTAAAGTAAAAAATGAAATTACAAGATATTTCATAATAGGAAATCGTAAAGTGCACTGCTGGAGTGCATGGTATGCCCATCCGAACATTATTAGACTAATTACAGCCATGAAATCCAGAGTGTAAGATAAAGGTCTGTACATGGTTTAATTTGAGTATGTATAGCTATAAATTTACAAAATGAAGCCAAGGTGACCAACTCTTGGGTGGCAACACACTTCCCTCTAAGCTGCACCAAAAACTGTCAAGGTTTGGTGGTCCTTTGCCTCACAGTGTGCAAGATATGATCATGACACCATTTGACTATATGTATTATAGCCATAAAATTCTAAAAATAAGGCCACAGTGACCTTCATTTGGGTTGCATTACACACCATATCCAAAATACATCAACTGACCAAGTTTGATGGTCCAAGGCCTTACAGTGTGCAGAACACAATTTGATCTTATACAGGTACTAGATTTTAAAAATGAGGTCATGGTGACCTACTTTTGGGTTGAGACATACTTTCATCCTGAGATGCATCAACTGACAAGGTTTAATTATCTTGGGACTCACAGTTAGAAAGATATGACCTGGACACAAAAAAACCCACCAGGGGTGAGATGGAAGAACAGGAAATCTTAAACCATAATAAAGCCTGTCGAAAGTGGGTAAAATGCACATTTTAGCAATACATCTAATCAATTAGTTCTTGTTACTAATAAGCATATTCATTGTATACATGCAATTACAATAAAAATAATTTTGTAACTCTAAATCCTTAAAAGCACCTGCTAATTAAAAACTGATTGTTTACCAAAGCTTTTTATACTTTCCCCCCAGAAATAGCTGTTATATTCTGATTATATATTTACATCAAGGGGAGATAAGCCAGTGATGTGATTTGCGAATGGATCTGACTAAATACAGTGATCTATGGTTCTACTAATTTGTGGCAGGTGTTGTCTTACCCTAAATCATCCAATCCTCTTTTGGATTTTACACCAATACTTCAAAATATGGAGTAAATATTTCAAAACATTGAAAAACCACATTTTTAAAATATTAAGTTATTTTTTTCTTCTACTGTCAGAGGTATACTATTTTTATAATTAATACATGTATATATATATATTGGAGCCTTTTGAATACATTCAATTTAAAGAGCTTATCAATTACTTTGGTACACATTTTTAAAACTATTAATTTCTTTTACAAAAAAGGGTTAAAATGCACAACACAACATTTAAAATGCATGTAAGGTTAAGTAAGCTAAGCTGTATAGTACAGAAACCTATATGCTTGTCCATTTCTTTTATCAAGTTTTACAGATTGGTGTCTATTTGTACATAATAAACACAATAACAGTTTGATTTTTTATTTTTAAATGACAAAAATTATCAATGGTTTTAAGTCATCCTGAAAGTCACTTTTTTTTTGAATTATGTAATTGGTGTATAACAAAACATCCTTAACATTGGCCAGCTTTCAGTGTTTAAGGAACATGAATATATTATGCAAGGGTAGTAACTCTGGCAAAGAATGGAACTAATTATACACCCCAAAACCCTTTACTTGCATTATTCAAGGGTTTCCCTGAAGGACTAAAAGGGTCTCTACAAGAGAAAACTAGACTATATACCAGTACTAGAATTTTCACAATAATTGACTCATAGAAAATTTTGGTCAAATATATACATGATACATGTGTACTGCCCATGCATTTCATGTTTCAAAGTTCAGCACAAGATTATTAAATCTGTAAAATTATTTTGTAAGCATCAGTCACCATCATGCCAATTAACACACAAAATAATTAACTTACATCACTGCATGGTAACCATGGTAACACTCAACATTCACCTTACCCTAAAATCACACCATATTGCTTAGCAAAATTATTCCAAAGCAGTGCTGGTTTAAATTATGTTTATATTAAGTTGTTTTCTATCTTTTTTATGTTGCTATAGCAATATGGCCAAACACCTCTGCATATTTTTATACAGTCCCCCACCCATTTTCCACCAGGTAGATGTACCTTGGATACTCCATTAAGTCAAATCTCTCTGGACTAAATGATTTCAGTCTTATTGCTGTAATTCTGAAACAGTTTATGTAACTTTTATCACTTTGATTAATTGTTACTCACATATTCCAATGATTTGTCAATGATAAAGCATTCCAGTAAAATATCGGGGTTATACCTTCACACTGAGTAAGTAGGATTTGTATATTATACATACAAGTTGGATCTAATGATTGGAAAGAAAAATAAGGAGCCAGATGAGGGTGGAGCAATAAAAAAAAATTCAATAAATAATAAAAGGACTAAGTGCCTGTTATTTAGGTGATTATGGTCCAGTAAGCAGGTCATAATTCTTGTAAAAGCATTCATACCACTTATTACAAATGACATGTACCTTACTGTTCCAGTGCTAAAACCAACACTAATTCCTTGTTTTAGACATAACAAACCACTGAAGATGAACAAGAATTTACTTCAATGTGAATCAAAAAGTAGCCTTAAGACATTTTACCTTAAGTGTCTCTGGATAAATATCAACATCAAACAGAAAACTGAAAATGATCCATTCAAGAGGACAGAAAAAATTCAATTATAACGTCTAACTATCACCTAAGCAATAAAATAATCAATGGATGTCCATTTTGATTAAGAGTATAATGAGACTTACAGGTGTAGTAAATCCCATACAACTTGTGTTTCACATTAAATTTACAGTGGTTTACAACAGTTTTAAAAAATTGAAATATCAAGTGATATAAAAAGCTTTATTGCTTCATAAAAAATAATCTTTATAACATGAACAAGTGTGCAATAAAGTTGATATAAATATAATATAACATACCCAATGCAAGCAACACGCATCCCATTACATTTGATATTAACATATATTGATCCTGGTTAACATCACGGAAGTTTATTGAGAAAAAAAGTGCAGAAAAAAGCATTTGTGAAGGGAAAACTATAAATATATCTTATATGTGTTGTATTAATACTACAGAATTTTACCAAAGTATAGGCTCCAGTTTCTTTTTCCTAATGTAATTCAGATAATACAGAGTTATGTCCCTTGAACAATTAACTCAGAATTTTGAGTTCTCAAATTAAAGAATAATGAGAATTATACATTCAGATGAAGTTTAATCCAGTTAACATTCCTGATAATTGATATTTTTCTTTTTTCAGATTTTATACTTGTAGTTATACTTTATAGAACAGTCTGTTTTCACTTTCCTATTACATGTATGTACATGTACTTAGATCTATATATTATAAGCTATTTAATTGATAATTTTCATCATTTGATTTTCTGCTCATTGATTTATTTTTTCTCACGTGAAACTACATGCATGTGAGAACATCAAAGACTAGACACAAGTCTTAATTCACTAAAAACAAAGTTTCTCTTTGCAGCTGAATTAATCTTTGCTCTCTGACTTTATTCTCTTAAAAACAGAGATATATTTTGAAATTATCAAAAGTATGAAAGAGAGCAAAGTTTAACATTGAGCTGAGCAAATCTTAGTGTTAAAAATGGCTACAGTGATCTGTATTCATGTTGGAGAAGAATTTCTGGGAAAGAAACAGGGAGGGAAATGTGGCATTCATTACTTCGACCTTTGACCTGATACTTGTTGTTCCCATGGGAACACTCTCTTAAAACCTGGTTCAGCTTCTAATCTATCATCCCCCCTCCCCCCTTTATTGCCTGTACATTGGGATTGTGGGGTCTCTACTTACGATCTGTCTGGGTGGTTGTGGGGGATTTCTCCCTTTCCTAGTTTTCGGGGAGATGCCAATTTTCCTGGTGAGGACCTTCCTGTTTTTACTGGAACTAACGCCTCTGCAAAAGAGTAAAATTTAATTAAGAATGAATAAACACAGCACTTTAATTCTGTATTTAATTGAACAATTTTTTTAAAGTGAAAAGATACAATTAAGACATAATAAATAATGCATTTAATGTTTCAGAAATAATTAAAACTGTTTGTTAAGTTGCTTTGTGTTATGTGCAAGGAACTTGAAATCAATAAAGCAGTATGTTAAACACACTTTTTTGAACAAATACCTGATCTGCTTTCATTAATGTAGCCTTTCAGACATACCTACTATAGAACATACCTACTATTATATGGAATAACAGCAAAAATAAATAGAGTCAAAAGAAAGGAATTATATGTATGGCTTCTATTTTCTGAATAAATTTGTCACTGAATATCAATCAAGCACCTGTTTAATATGATCAAAATAAAGTCTTGAACCTCACAAACAACACATAAATATACACAAGTAATGGGAAGCCTCTATCAGTCTAAACAAAAGTTTTTCAGGTGTTCTTTCCAATTCAACATTGTATCACACTCAATTTTTTAAAGTGTAATGTCTTCAAGACATTTAGAAAAGCCTATCAAATCTTGCTCGCATTTAGGTAAAGTTTTTTAATCATAAAGATAATCAGACACTTTCTGTTTAAGTAACTCTCGGAAAAATGAATTGTCAAATTTCTTTATTTAGTCAGACTTAAATATCAAGGATTTAAACCGTGTATTCTTTATATTAGACACTTTATCAGTGCATGGCCTTCAGTGAAGAAAATTAAACTTCCAATTATCAAAAAGAAATTTCTCTATAGACTATAACCATTGGAAGATCATTAGAATTGACAGTCATTCGATGTTTTTCACTAAAAAGAAACACTATAACAGATGTAAGTTTTTTCAAATGTTGACAATGCTGGTTTACCTAGCAACATATGAATACCACTGGATTGTTAGATCAATGAAGAGCCAATAGGAGGGAGCCAATTACCATACAAAAGCAGGCACCTGATACTGTGGGTTACTGCGGCTAAACCTTTGGTCTCATTATAGATGTAGGAAGAACCGTTAACAACATTAAAATACTGACACATCAGATCAATATCAAACAAAAGTACACACTGAAATTATGACTGACACTGTAGATTTTGTTTTACAGAGACCAACACTAGACTTTGTTTTACAGAGATCGACACTTGAGTTCTGCCGAGAACATAATCACCCTCTACCCTCAAACCAGGGAATAAAAAAGCATTATTCAACATTGTATGAGCTTCCATGTTTATTCATAGTTTTTTTTTCATGCCTTTCAAAGCATTCCCAAAAATTAAATTTCAACTTTTAATTTTGACTTTCTTTAGATGTGAGCCTTGGGTCGATCATCTCTGATGTTTAGGAAGAATTCATATGAACCAACTGAGATTAATATTTCCATCTGTCAGATAAGACCCTGATTTTATTTGACGTAAATTCACTAACATTTGATTTGTTTGTACAATTTAGAAGCCCACTCTTCTGAGATTGTAGCTTTCTGACTTGTGTTTTGTGATCTATTAGTTTGATTACTTGTAGCCTACCCCTCTGTGATACAGGTTCTTTGGTTTGTTTTCCCGGATTTTTGGTTTTCGGGGGTCGTTTACCACTGCCATTTTCTCCACTTTGCTTGCTGTTATATTCTCCACCCCCTTTACCGGGTTTATAGTTAGGATAAATGTCTCGAGACTCTCTCTGCTTGTCATTAATTTCACCACTTCGTCTTTGCTGCATATTCACATCATCATTCTGTATCTGTCTTCTGTTTAAATCATTACCTCTGTAAGCTGCATTAAAGTCCCCACTCTCTTTGCGTGAGGTTCGACTCCCGTTAGTATATGCAGTATTGAAACTTTCCATTGAGCCTGGTTTTGTAGGTAACGAAGCATTGCCACTATCTTTAGAACCAAGTTTACTACGACTGTCTTTTGAATCAGTTCGTGAATATCGCTTATATCTCCCTGAGTAATCCATAATTATTTCTCAATTACATGCTTTTTAAAATCCATCAAAATTAGAAAATTGGTCCCACCATAACAATATCCCAGCTTGTAAGTGATTTTCAAAGTCAAATTGGTTGGAAAAAAAATTGTCACATGAACTCAAAAGCCATTCAGTGATACGTCATTGGCAACATTGTTGACTATTTTCTAAGTGTTGGTTTCCAATTGAAAAATCGTAAAAATACTGGCCATTGTCAGAAAGCTATATTCTAGCCCTTAATCTGTACTGTTACCTTTGAAAGAACAGTAAATCCGGGCAGGGATTAGATTTAAAACCATTAAAGGCAAAGTGACCATCATACGGAATGTGGTCACTAAATAATATATGTAACCTTGTTTAGAATTTAAAAACCAAAGACTTTGAAACATCTCCCGGTAATGTGTATTATACTCTGTCCTTCATCAACAAGTGAACAGCTATATAATTTGTGTTGAAATTTCTATGCAATTTCTCAGAGTTACCTTGGTAAATTATGAAATCATCATCAGATCAGGAAATTTGATTATTGGACAGATCAATCAATGATGACTTCTAACAATACCCAGTGTCATGCTCCATATCTTGGCTCTAACTTCTGTAACAGCTGCAGAACTGTAACTCTTTAGGACAGGAAATACAGACAGACATAGCAATCTGATACTCGGATACTAGGAATGTCTCTACTGCCTCTACTCTGGTGTGTCTGTCTGTCTGTCTGTTCTGTCCCAGAGAGCTACAGTTCTACAGCCATACTTCTGTAACAGCTAAATGTCAAGACTACAACCTGTCAGCTTCTGTTCCTACAGTGTATTAAATTAAGGATATAGAGAGGATGAAATATTCACTGGACATTTATGCTCCTAGGGTATTTAACATAAAATCAAACACTTTATTGATTTTACAACCATTTTGAAAATGGAGAATTGAGGTCATATTTAGCCCCCCTTAAAGTAGCAAAAACCATTCCAGATAGATGGCTCAGGGTATTAGAGATTTTGTTTAATCCACCAGTACTTTAAACCCCCACACTTTAATGGCAAAACCGACCATTGTATTTCCATTTAGAGGATTATGATAATCCCTAGAAAATATAATAATTAAGCCTTCAGTCCTGAAGAAATTATCTGCTTTTACTAAAGAAGTGCTTGATTTTACTCAATAGTGAACCTTTTTTGTTTGTTTTTATATAACAATAAAATATGGACAAAAAAAAATTGGAAAAAAAAAATTCTTTGATCCAGTATTAGATCACTTGACAAATTATATTATAATTAGACGTCCATTTCTCGACTTTCTTGAAGTAACATGTAACTGAGTAATTGCTTTCTATAATAGCATATTCAGAGTTATAGTAAAGCAGCTTTTATCATTTAAAAAAAAATACTTTTTTCTAAATCATCAATCTGAATCCAGTGGTAATAATAATATATATGAAGATTCAGGATTGAGACTAAATTTTTACAATAATGTATGATCTACTGAGTGACTTGACTTGTTAAGAATATATTAAGGCAGTATTACAAAGTATATAAAGATGATGTGTCTCGACATGAGCGTCTTATGCAATATCATAGGATACAACACTCATACATTATGAATGATTATTTTTCTCACATTACTCTAGGGTCTTTCTCCAAATCAATTTCTTTTGTCATTGTGAAAACCAAAATCGTTAACCTTTTAGGTATCCATTTTTATTAATTTCACGAAGTTCTCTCCAGGTTTTGTGTCATACAGACTTTAAACTTAGATATACAATGCATTATAATTTTACTTATATGCTTTTTTTCTAGTAAAAAAAAAATCACTGAGTTTTTCTTTAATAGGATTTTTTGTCAATAAGGCAATTAATTTAAGAACATGAATTTTTAAAAAGATCATCTATAAACCATTAACTGTTGATGATACATGTATAACATACATTTTTATAAAACACAAGGTTGTCATATACAAAGTTAAAAGAATGAGAGAATTACCAATGGATTTCTGTATCATGATGTCATAATATGGTCATGATTTCTGACCAACTCATCCATGACATCATAGAAAACTACGAAACATCAATTAATTTGTATGCAAAATTGGATAGACCTCTGACTAAATGATAGAAAAAAGTAATCTTTTTATGTCCCAGTGTTCTTTTTTTTTTTTTTTTTGCACATAAATCATTTGGAATTCCTTGAGTGACTACTGACTTGTAACATATAAAGAACAAGGTATGGTTTCAATACAAATCTTGTCCTGTACGTGTTTTTCATAAAAATGAAAGTGAGATAAAAAATTAAAACTCATGTGTTCTGCATCATTCAAATTCCATGCAGAAAGATCATACAAATGACTGCCGTCATGAGAAAAGGGCCCTTATCTGTTGACGTCACAATACGCAGAAAACGACGTCAAAGTTGCGATATTGTAAACACGGAAGTGAGATTTTTTTCGACTGCGTTTTGTGGTCTCGTGTAAAGAGAAAGAAATAAAACTGGATTTCCAGGTGTAGCAAAATATCAAATTAAACGAAATTTAAAGGAGACAATTTTAATTAAAAACATTTTTTTTACTATTTAGAACATTTATTTATTCATCATCATGTTTCTGTGTAAAGATTTTACACTACATAACCTCAACGCTACATTGAACACATTGTCAGGTATAGAGCGATTAATAGCGATACCTATATAGAATGCAAAACTACAGATATGTTTTTTTTTCCTGAGTAAGTTGCAAATGCTTATATTTGACTTATACATTAATGTATTAATAGTCTTAACACTAAACGGTAGTTTGTATATAACATTTATATTTTTTAAGAGAGAGATAGAGAGAGAAAACTCAATGTACTTATACGCGTTGCTTAAAAGCGCTTTTTCATTTTAGAAAAAAGTACCCCGTAAAAATGTAGTGACATATTTTGATTTTATTCCATTGTTCATCATATCGATAAGCACAGTTAGGCTATTAAGTGTGGCGTCGTTTTCCAAAAAGGGGGATATAAATGACAAGCAAAAATGTCTCCAAATTAAAAGGACATCAGTTCAAAGTTCAAGAGAATTAAAAAAATAAAAAAGAGAACTGAACCCCGCTTTGTTTGTAAATATAGGTACTGTGATATGAGGGATTTGAACCCATTTCAACAATTGAAGCTGTGTGTGTCGGGAGGGGGGACGACCTTTGAACAAATAATTTCGTACTTAAAATTAACAGGAAGAGAATATTATCATAGAAAAAAAAATAATGGGGGGGGGGGCAGTTTCCCTCTTTGCTTTAATTCTATTGGTTAATGGTTAAAGGAAGGTGCTGTGCGTATGTCCCTGGTAAAAATGTAGGTTTCACAATCGCATAAATAAAATATTACATGTGTATATAACATAAAAACTATAACTAAAATATTTTGAAAGCTTTTTTGTATCTTTTTCTACAGTATTGTCGTATTCTAAGAAAGCTCAAATCGAAAAATAGTGAACTGTGAAATGTCATGATTCCGGAAAGCAATAAAATAATTGCACAAATGTGCTAATGAATTCAAAAATACTAAGTATTTGCATAAGAAAATAAATTTTGATATAATTATGAAGATGCATAAAATATAATTTTTTTAAATAACATTTTCTTTGTCTATTCTGTTTAATTTGTTCCGATGAAAGTCAGCTTGAAATAAATTTGCATTTTTGCTTAGGAATTATAATTATACAGTTGATGTAAATGTGGACCCCCCCCCCCCCCCATTACAATTACATCGATAGTAATGTTTTTCTTCAAAATATGTATGAAACAAAGGAAAATTTTGGTTAGGCTGTCAAGAAATTATTTACTTCCGATAAATGAAGATATGACGAAATCTTTTGATAGAAAAACTTATTGGTAACAAGAGGTCATGGGTGTCATTCAAAATGATCTGAAAATTTTCAAAATCATCAACCAAATTAATATCAATCGCAAACTCAAAATAGACAATCAAGAATCTGCATTATTGGAAAGATGAAAAATAAGAGCACCAGTGCTGATTTTAGCGAAAAAAAAAAAAGAGAGATGTGTATTCATATACATGTACAATTTACTTTGTACATGTAGCTGCAGATCTGTAGCTCATTATTCTGCATGAGGAAATTGAGTGGAGGACCGGAAAGTTACGTACAGTGCCACCAATTGAAAAAAAAATAATTATGCTCAAAAAGTACACTGTTTCTTGATCATGTGTCTGTAAATTTAAACTGCCAGCTCAAAATATTACAAACCATGAATTCCTTACATGCATTATAATTTTATTGCATGATCTGATGAGAAATATGAGGATTTATTCAGCCAAGAATAATCATATCCTCGAGGTCTTAGCCGAGTTGGATACGAATTTTACTACATTGCCGATTTAATGTTCTTATTTCCCTCATGATCATGCAATGAATTGTTTATTTCATTGAAATAAAACAAGGTTTAAAAAATAAATACAAAATTTCAAATTCGGCACCACTTTCAACTTCCCTTTTATTTAAAAAAAAAAAACAAAAACAAAAAAAAACAAAACAAAAAAAAAAAAAAAAAAACAACATCAACTCAATGTCTTCCATATTTTCTACCCTCTTGTTTTACCATTCATATTGGAAAGGAGATCGCTATATTCGAATTTTTCGTTTTTACAAACGTTTGAAACTTATTGTGGAAAAATGCACGAGATTTTCGAAGTGGATGACTATGACGAACAGCGAAGCGACGAAAGGGAATTATGACACCCTGTCACGTAACTGTCTGAAACCCATCAGATAATGCATTTATAGAACAGTTAAAATGAGGTATAATAAATTCTTTCACTACTTCAATTATGATGACCGTGAAATATGTAAGAATTTTAAAAAATAATAAAAATAAATGACCATTAAAAAACATATACGAACCTCTTGGCTTTAATTAGCTCAAACATGGCACATGACTGCTGGCTATAGTTCTATATCCGGCAGGTAAGAATTATTATCTGGCAATATGTTCGCACATATTGCCAAATCATTCCGACATAAGGAACCATTTATTACAGACACAATCTCCCTTTTTTTCTTTTTGAAATTAGATTAGCGGCTCTTTTAAGCGAAGTACAATTTGGTGTGCACGAGTGTAAGTAGCTTCGAGAAGGGGGAAATGTTTGAAATTAAATTCTAACAATTAAAGTTAGCAAAGAATGGGAAAAAAGAAATAAAGATTTAAGAAAAAAAAATAAAGTACAGAATAATTTATAATTTCTTTCAATAAATTGTAATTTAATTGTAAAAAGAAATAAGTTGACAAAAGGTATCAATTTTCATATAGGGATAAACTTTAGTTTTAAAAGACAATCCTAATCTTAAGACTTGATTACATGTATGTGCCTCATTTACCTTTTTTTCTACTCTATAACCCAGGCAGGCGCGGAAACGAAATTGTATATTATTAAGCGTAAGCAAAGAAAATGCTCTTGAAAATTATAGAAAACATTTTTTTTTCAATATATGATTTTCTACGTACTACAGATTAAACTTATTTGAAACAATTTAACACAACATAACGTGTATGAATATTTGTTCAAATTAAAATTCGTTGATGATACACAGAATACATGAGGATTTATTTGGGTTGGTTATCCCATTTCTCCGGGATATCTGTGTAGTTTTTATTTTTTTTTTAAATGTACAAGTGCTTTATATATTCTTTTAATTGAGCTAGAGTATCATATATTAAAAAATATCTAAAGTGAAATAATTGCACAGTACATGTATTATATGTACGAATGAATATAATCAGTTTCTAGATCCTGTCTAGAACCCCCCCCCTTTTTTTTTTATATTACTGGATCTGCTTCTAGAACTCTACACATTACACGTAAGAACAAACTTAAGGCAACTTCAGGTTAAATATTGACAATATACATGCATTTCCTTGGAAGAAGAAATGAAAATTATATTGTCTAGAGTTTGTATGTGTTATTAAGGTTATTTGAATAACGCATGTGGCGTACGTCATTACGTCTTTAATGAATAACGTCAATGTTGATTAAAAGCGCCTTACTAAAATGAGCATAAAACCGTGAAAAAATGAGATATTTTAAAAAGTAATATTTATTTGAATTCAGAAAGAGTTTGGCTATCAAAATTTACAAAAAAAGTCATTTTGAGAAATTTTGACCTTAAGGGCCCTTTTCTCATGACGGCAGTCAAATCATTTTCTTATATGACCTTCTAAATGCTAATTGTGACGTCATAAACTTGTGCATTTTCCCGTATTTTCTTAAAAAGTTGCAGAAGACACCAATTTTCAATGGAATTTTCTTTCAGATAATATTGTCCACAGGCATGGCCCACAAATATTTCGAGATGTGTGATTTTTCAAATAATTTTACACAACATATCCGAAAATTAAAGTGGGCGACGGCTGTGGACACTATTTTCTTAAGGAAAATAACCCTTGAAATGGGTCATTTTGAGGCTTTTTATGTTTAAAATAGAGAAATGCATCAGATTAATTACGTCATATTTCCAGAATGGTACTCCTTCATGCCATATTCTTTCCTGATTTATCACTGTCATATACTCAACTAATATTTAAGCCAGTTTCAAAACTTTTTGAAAACATTCAATTTTTAGGGCACAATAAAGCTAAAACCGAACCTTCTTCTTTAGGACTACAGTCTAGATTTAATTATAATACAAGTATTTTGGAATGAGAACTCATTATTATCAGTTTATATATCTGAATTAATGTATTTGTAAATCTTTCATATCCATTTAAACCGTGGTAAAAAAATTGCACACAAATAATGTCCTATAAACAAAAGAAATAAAGAAAAGAAACCCATTAACCCCATATCTAATCTGAATGCTAAAAGTTGGAGAAGTTAATAATTTGCATTGCATTTGAATATATCAGAAATACAGGCCAGTTCCATTGTACCAGATCCTTAAAAGTTCAGGAGAATGGACCAGGAACTAATTAGCATAGGAGTGATAAGCAGTGAAGAGTCCAAAGCTCCGGAATACAACAGAGAATGTGAGGGCCCACACAAATAGTGCCAGCAGACATCAGGGTCAATTCATGAGTATGTGAACTAAAAAGGCTATCAGAGACATCATGAAACTTAGTATCTATGAAAATTATCAATTGCTTGTTTCATCATAAAAAATTTGAATAGAATTTGGAGTATCATACATTAGAGTCATCCTTATTTAGATTACAGTTCTGAATCATTTCAATCACACCTTATAATGATTGCTACTAAATTTCTTGCTGATTTTTTTTCACAATGCAATGGATGATATTTGTTTATTATGTTTACAAACCAGGAGATTGGGCCTGATGCCTGTTGTACAAGTGCTGGGGCAGGGACCACACATGGATACACAAGACTTACGACTATTTTCGGCAGCAGGGGCAGATTGGGATTTTTTTTGTTCTTTTTGATCCATACTCTGGGCGAAGTTGGCATCAATTTCCATGCGGCTCCTACCTTGTCTCTGCAGATTCTTGTCAATCTGAAGTCGTAGGAGCATCAGGACTTTCTCTACCACTTTAGCCTTGCAGTTTGCCAGAGCTCGAATGACCTCATCTGATAGGTCAAGGTCAAGCTTCCGTAACACTCGCCTTCAAAATAAAATATACATTTACTTATTTTATTCTTGATGTCACTACACTAATGCATTTAGTCAAGCATCATGGGGAAACACACCTACATGTACATGTAGCCCCCAAAAGCATATAAACTGAGAACAGACTTAAATCAAAATATAAATTTGATTTATATCTTGAGTTTTACTTATTTAATAACAAACATGATTAAAAAGATTAAAAAGTTGCAAGTTTGTAAAATATTCAAATACAAATAAATGAAGAAAATTTTCTTTTTTTAAATTGTATTAAAAGTTCAGCTTAATTTAAATTTTGACTTAAGTCTGTTCTCAGTTTATTGTCTCAAGACCTTGTATTACTAACTGTTTTTCATTTTCATTTTTTACTAAATTTGCTACATGTAATTAGCTTAAAACTTTTCCCCTTAAAAAATTCCTCCTTTTTTAAGGTCTCATTTAAATGAGCCATCTCTCATTTCTAATGCTGAATTTCACTGACAAGCTAGGTCATTAGGTATAATGTGAAGGTCATAAATTGACCTCCTTGGTAACAGACCAATAACCCAAACTTTTGAAGCCAAATTTCCTAGTTGACTGGTCGAGTATGTTCAACTTGGTTAACTGTTGAGTAGATATCAAATAGTTACCTGTTAAGTAGATATCTACAATAGTTACCTGTTAAGTAGATACCTGAGATAGTTACCTCTTAAGTAGATACCTGAGATAGTTACCTCTTAAGTAGATAGTTACCTGTTAAGTAGATACCTGAGATAGTTACCTGTTCAGTAGATAGTTACCTGTTAAGTAGATAGTTACCTGTTAAGTAGATACTTGAGATAGTTACCTGTTGAGTAGATACCTGAGATAGTTACCTGTTAAGTAGATAGTTACCTGTTAAGTAGACAGTTACGTGTTGAGTAGATAGTTACCTGTTAAGTAGATAGTTAACTGTTAAGTAGATAGTTATCTGTTAAGTAGATAGTTACCTGTTAAGTAGAAAGTTACCTGTTAAGTAGAAAGTTACCTGTTAAGTAGAAACCTGAGATAGTTACCTGTTAGGTAGATAGTTACCTGTTAAGTAGATACCAGTTTTCCATCTTCTGTTTGGTGGCAGCGGCTGGTGAATAGTTATGGAGATCAACAAGCTTAGGGAAATAATGGTTTATTACTTCTGCTATAAGCACTGAAAACAAATGAGAATGAAATAAATGGTTTGCAACTGTATTTTGAGTACATTAATTCTATCATCTATTACCCAGGTAGGACTGTGAGCATATCTGTACACACTGCAATGTTAGTTATAATGCTGAAACATTTTACAAAGTTAAGGTATTTAATGTATAATGAAAGGATATTGAACAATTTTGAATCATTTTAAACTTTTGCTAAATAATGATGAAAATGAAATGAACCAAATTCACATGACTGTTAACATATAAGAAGCCGGCCATTTTGCACCTTAAACTTTTTTGAAGAGTTATCTGCCCTTGATGAAAAGAAGAAAATTTTAATTTTGTCAATATATCTGTGTTAAATGTTTAATTTTATTTCAGATTTTAATAAAGAGAGAGTTTATACATATTTGTATGAAGTTCAAAATTACTTTTTACAATATTTTAAAAACACCTACACTGCCCAGACTTCAATGTAAAATTCAAGGTGCAATTAATTGGACAATTATCAAAATTTTGTAAATTCCTTTGGTGGAGTATTTTTATTTGATAAGACCTTCAAAATGCTACCATGATTAAAAATATCGGACCATTCATTTATTAGGTACAAAATATGGTCGTTATACATTGAATACCTTAATACATGTATACCCTACATATAAGTATAGAATATGGAGCGGAGAAAAATCATTGTCAATGCATGGTCACAACCTTATTTTAAAATTTTTTTTACATGTCCTATTATAAGTTGCATAATGCTAAAAGGAAAAAAAAAAATAGAAAATATTGATTTATAGCTGCAAAATCTTGGCATGGTGCTCTAGATCTTCCAATAATAAAAGTGTATACTCAAGTTTGATGAAATATCTTCTTTTTTTTTCGGGGGGGGGGGGGGGGGGTATGATTGGTACTTGTTTGAAATTTATTTCTTGAGGTGCACTCTCTCATACATGTGTCAGGAAGCACATCAGCTGTTATTCCTACTGAATGACTTAAAAGGTAATGATTTTCAGCGGAACAATACTTAAAGGTGAATAAATAAAATCAATCTCAAATAGACAATGTAAATATTGATTTTGCCTTTAGTTTTTTGCTGCTACTTTGTGGATGGTGTTCAAATCAATAACACCATATATTTCATTAAAGATTAACAATGGATTCTCAATAGATATAATGTATGTATGAATATGTTAAATTCAAAGTTTAACACTTTTACCTAACATTTTCCTCTCATGTGGATGATATTAAATTTTCAGGTTATAAATAATGTAAATGTTGTTCACAGGCATGTAATGAATGCTCTTAACCTCATATTAAACAAATGATTTATCATCATAAAATAGTTTTATAATGCTCATAAACCTTTACCTATGAGTATACATTATATTAGAGAGGGCAGAGAAGATATTCGCAGCCCATTTGCCCCCCCCCCCCCCCCCCCCCCCCCCGAAAAAAAAACAACAGGTGTTGCTTGAAGAAAAACTGGACAACTGGGCAAGGGTTATTTGTAGATATTTTAAAATTAATAAGGGCTAATTCACATATTAAACACAATGAACAAACAAACAAAAACACAACTAATAACACAACTTTTAATATGAATTTTAGTCTTTTGAGAAACTGTTTTCTTCTTTTTTTCATTATCTTTTCTCTAAAAACACTCTCTCTTTTGCTTACTACTGAAGGCTTGGGGGTGGGCGGGAGAGGGGGGTGGAATAATTTTCATTAAATGAGAATGCTAGTGGAGTTTATTCGCTTTGTGAAAATATTTCGGATTTGTAACACCTGTCTGTTTAGGTGGAATGGGGGGGGGGGGGGTTCTATAGGATTAGTAGTAGATTTTGTAACATGTTTTTGTGTAAAGGGGGGGGGGGGGGGTACTATAGGATCAGTAGGAGGTGGACCTTGATTAGCTTTATCACTGGGCTACATACAGGGTTTGAAATTAACAGTCGCCCACTCGCAATTTGCGACTGATGTTCCATGTGGGCGACTTAAAATTACGTTCAAGTTGCCCACATGGCGATTAGAAAATTTACGATAGTAAATATTTGTTTTTCAATTTTGTCCAAATGTTTTGTATTTTTCTCTTGAAAAATTTTGTAATCAGTAAAAGTGCTTTATAATTACCCGTAAGAAGTACTTGTACATAAAGCGTCTAAGTGATTGTGTCGGGCACAATGTTGCATCAACGGGTCAATGAGCCCAAGAAACCAAAAAGAACTGTTATTATTTGTGAATGAAAACGTGACATATGTGCTCTTTATATGATATTGAATGATCATATCAATCTTCATAAACAGAAGAGTTCCACTTGAAATTTAGATAAGTCGTGCATAATGTTACAACAGATAGAAAAGAACACGAAGCACATGATGAAAAAAACGAAAAATGGGGTTGTTGTTTTTATATTCAATAGAAGGTGTGATAATCTGTGGGCGAATAAATTTTTATGTGGGCCCCAGAATTGCAAGGTTCAGTAGCCCACATGGCTATCAAAGATTACAAGTTAGTTTAAAACCCTGACATAGAATATTTTAGGGGAGGTATGAGGAGGCATCTTAGAAAATTTTGTTTTGTGTCCTTAACAACAAACTATTCCAATGCTAATCAGAAAATCAAACAATTTAGCTGTCTCATTATCTCACACATAGTAACTAAGACATTTAACTCTCGTTTACATAAGAACTTTTCTACCAAATACTCTACAGGGTCTAAAACAGAAGTGGCTTTAGTGACAAGGCCTGTATTTAAACTGTAAGCAATCCAAGTGAAATTAGGTATGGCCGTTTAGATGGTTAGGTCTGAAATGCAAATATGACCTGTTCAAATATTTTCCTTACAATTTTGTCTGCAATATATATGAACAATTTGGTTATCTAGATCTTATGACATGAAAGGAAGAAAAAGTACCCATAAACCCTTAAGCATAATATCAATTTGAAATGTTTTAGTGAGATAAAAATAAAGTGTCCATAATGATCCAATATACCTCAAATGTTAATGTTAATGGAAAGCTAATCAAAAATTGAAACAAGAATTACAATTTAATTAAGTGAAATATTACAATGTAGATATTATACTTAAATTTATTTTTATATAGAAAATTTTGGTCATATTGGAATTCTACACTAACTTGATAAAATTTGCATAGGTATTTGAAAAGATATATTGACCTGTGCAATTAAGATATTTTACAAATATGCTGCATCCCCAATTTTTCTGCACAGTCATCATCTGTTTCAATACCTGCCCTCCCCTTTTTTGTTTCAACAAAACACAGTTAAAACCTTATCAGTAGCAAGAATGGATGCTGTGAACATGAAATATTACACATTTTAAATATTTTCTCATTGTATTTCTTTTTGAGAATGATAGAAAAATGTGGAATAAACTTTTTAATACCCTTTAGATGACATGTAAACAAAAATGTCCACACCAATCAGGGTCACCAATCTACACACCAATTAGGGGAAATAATCATCCACTAACCAGGGGGAATAATCTACACACTAATCAGGGGGAATAATCTACACACCAATTGTGGAATAATCCACACACTAATCAGGGGGAATAAAATTACATACCAATCCGGGGGAATAATCTACACACTAATCAGGCAGAATAATCTACACATCAATTAGGGGGAATAATCTACACACAAATTGGGAGGAATAAAACACACACTAATCAGGGGGAAAAATCTCTACACACCAACCAGGGGGAATAATCTATGCACAAATTGGGTGAATAATCTCACACCAATCAGGGGGAATAATCTACACACAAATTGGGGGGAATAATCTACACACAATCAGAGGGAATAATCTACACACAAATTGGGGGAATAATCTACACACCAATTAGGGGGAATTATTTACACACTAATCAGGGGGAATAATCTACACACCAATCGGGGGAATAATATACACACTAATCAGGGGGAATAATCTACACACAAATTGGGGGAATAATCTTCACACCAATCAGGGGGATTAATATACACACTAATCAGCACTCTCTACCATCGGCTCATACATTCACCTATGTCGTTGGCTCGCGTATATCACAGTGAGCACGAGAAAAAGTGTGTTTGTTTTAATTCATTATAATTAAATGTCTGCACTAATGTTTCTCTTTTAAGGTAGATATGTACTAAGTTTATCTAGAACTATTAGTTTAATTTGAAATAATCCTTGGAATGTCATGTTTTTTTTTATGTTGTGTCAAAAAATTTTGATGTTAGCCCATCGCAGAGGTGTCTGAGAGAGAAACAAACGTCAACTCTGCAAGGAAGATTGACTAATCAGGGGGAATAATCTCTCCACACCAATCAGGGGGAATAATTAACACACTTATCAGGGGGAACAATCTACACATCAGTCAGGGGAGAATAATCTACATACCAATCAGGGGAAATAACCTACACACTAACCAGGAGAAAAATCTCTACACACCAAAGGAATAATCTACACACCAATCAGGGGGAATAATCTTATCAAAGGGACATTTAGGACAGGAACTGAATACAGATAATTCATTTAATATCAAGCAAGAAATTAATTAACAAAACTGAGCAGGAAGGCTGCTAGTCTAAAACTTTATCAAGTAGTAATCCAAAAAAGAATATATATTGAACATCTTGTGTTAAATGGTTTAATTTATGTTTAGTTTTTGGTGATTCTCTAATGAATACTTTACAGAAAAAAAATTACTTGATTACAATAAAGGTTTTATATTGATTTTTGCAGTGTTTCACGTGTTTGTTTGATTTCAAACTCAATTATAAAATATGGATAATCATGAAATCTATTTACACAGAACTTTCTCCTGTTTGGAATGCTGATAGGTGAACAATACATTATTGAGTAGACTTTGGTAAAAACCACCAGAACAGTTTTCAAGTCTGCCATTTGCCAACACTGTGTCAATAAATTAATGTGTAAAATATTGGTCTAGTAACTAATCTTTGATTCTAAGATAGAGCCTTTTCAATACCCATTACTTACTCTTTGATTCATTTATCACAGGTGTGATGATACATATACTGAACTTAAGTGACTGGATTATCTACAGAAAAGCCACATTTCATAAACTAGATATCCCCTCACAACGAAGATGGAGGGGATATAGTAACACAGTTGTGTATGTGTGGGTGAGTAGGTGGGTGAGTGAGTGCATGCATAACTTTTGTTACGCAATTAATAATGATGTACTCTTTTGCAAGGGGATGCTCTGCTTTGTGGTGCCCTTGTTTTTTGGGGTTTTTTTTGTTTTTTATTTTTACATTTTTTTTTAGTTTGCCAAATATCTACTTCACAATGACCTTGCTAATAATAAAAAGTCAGTTTTTTTTTCTAATGGTTTTGGCTGCTGTCTTCAAAACTTTAACTAAATTAATAATCTTACTCCTATGTCTAAAATATAAGAATATTATGACATATGCTGCAGGTTCTTATGATAATATTTTTTAAAATTCTTTTTAAATAAAGTATATTTCCCTTACAGATCAGGTTTAAAGACCAGCAATTAGAAACTTGATTGGTAAATACCATTGCCTGCCAAATTCCAGGGATAAGCTGCCTAATTTATTCCTGGGATTATGAATGATTATAGTGAATTTCAATATATTATAAATATTGCTGAAAAAATCACGTTTACTTAATTAAGGTGCAATTGGCTTTGATTTTTATTCAACTCTGATATCTTTTTGCTAAATAATTGCAGTTGAACATAAAGTATTGAAAGCTTTGAGTTTCCAAGGTCTCATAAATCCAGTTCTAAACAATTTTGCTATTATATCATTATCAGTCTAAACAATGCTTCATAATATATGTTGAACTTTTTCAAGTTTTTCTGTGTAAATACTTAAAAATCAAAGGTGGACACATGTGTGCTATATCTAATTTCAGTTCTCTACATTAAGACTGAGCTAAGCAATATTTAAGAAAGTAATTTATCTACAAAGCATACATTACATTGGCATTGGATCAAATGCAGAATGCACCAGGTATAAATCCTAATTTACCCTGGCAAGTCTCCACATGTGAAATCGAATTGCTAAAATTGAGTTAATCCATTACCTCCATCGGAAAAATCTTTTCCAAGGTTCTTTTTTTGCCTCGTTAATGGAATTCTATCAATCCATTGGTATAAATTTTCTAATTCGACATCGTCAAAATATTCTTCCATGTCCACGCGTGTTAACCCGTTCAGTTGTCGCCTAAATGTTATAGTTTCCATTTCTTATTGAAATTGTACATTTGTCAAGTGAAAAAATAATAACTTTATGTCAATAAATGCCAAATCAAACTCCTATACACCATTCATGTGAACTTCCGATTGCAAACTCGCCCATGAAACCGTCTTGTCCGCTTCAATGCACATGGGGGTCAAAGTGGAAATCCGCTTTGTTGTCGTTAGTAACAAGCCAATTTCCGAGTAGAAAGTGAAAGTAGAATCCAAAAATACAATGAAATTTTCAGAAATTGTACTAATTTACATTTATTCTTAATTCAAACTTATCCAAAATATCAAATGATGAAAATAATATATTGACTACCATCTTTACAGTATATATTTCGGGTTAAAAATTTAAGCGATTTTGAGCTTGCTCTCTGCCCCAATGCGAGAAAGGAAATTGAAAGTAGAGTTTGTACCGGAAGTATTGCAAAACTTTGAGTAAGTATTGAATAAAGATTTGATCGACTCGCCTGTCTCGGATGCTCAATTTGAAGATATGAAAACACCGGTATTTATTTTATTTTACGTTTTGCACTTATTATTTTATAAGTTTGTTCTGATTAAGAGAAATAGTGACAAAAGTGCAAATAGATGCATGCAAATACTGCAAAGTTGAATAAGACATGAAAAAAAAACTTAGTCACTTTTCTCAAGAAATTAGCCGTGTAGTGATTTAAGTATGTCAATTATTTTTGAGTATCGTCTGCAAGAAGAATTAGTTACTCTTTTCTCTATGACTATCAGGAAATGCAAATACTTTGCAAAGTAATATTTTCCTGTTTCAGCATGTAGGATATAAATAGCCATGACATTCAACATTGTTGTACAGATTTCAACATCATTGCACCATGTGAACATCATAAGGAAAAAGAATGAAATCTTTTTGTTTAAAGCAAATCCCAATCAGATCTTATGGATATGGAATTCTGAGTGTATAGGTTCTGTAACATCTCTGCTGTAAATTATTCTGTGTAAAGAGTATAATGATTTTATTTCTTGCAGAATGTAAGTAATTTGACCAATTCTTAAGAGCTAATGATTGGATTGGGACTCTAAGTTCTGAGTCATGGACACATCAGGGAAGTCTCTTTTGTCCAAGTGGTCACTGAAAGACACTGGTAAGAAATCTAATCATCATCATCATGTTAAAATTCTACATTTTATCTATAGTGTCAAAATGCAACAAAAAATGTAAAATCAAACCAATGTTGTGTCCTCCGATGAATTATTGTGTATTGTTGATGAAAGCACATAGGAAAATTAAGCTTGCATGCATACTGCTGTAAATAAAAGAAAATTCAAAAATCAGTTGGTATTGAGAAAAAAATAATACAGTGGGATAGAGATGATTAAAGGACCTGAAGGATAAAAATTCCTTTAAAAGATAACAAATAATGCAGGAATTATAAAATTTTCTGGAAGAGTTACATATTCAACGTCTGTAAAAATGTGACACAATTTACAGTATATATAAATACATATATACACATGAAAAGCAGCTAGCTAGCCAATGGTTTTGGTATGCTCTGGTCTCCATAATTATGGGGATGAATTGTCTTTTGCAGGTATAAAATCTAGCTTAATAAGCACAAGTTTACAGAGCAATGTGTCAGCTGGCTTAAGTTCAGGCTTAGAAAGCAAGCTATCAACTGGACCACCTGGAGGAGATAGTTTGTCCACTACCAGAAAGAGGAAACCACTCACCAGTAAATCTTCCATCAAAGACAAGAAACCATTAGTGGAAAAACCACATCTCAAAAGCTCTCTGTTGGGATCCTCGTCTCTGTTAACAAGTGGAAGCCTGAAGAGCTCTCTACTGGGTTCATCTTCATTGAGTTCTAAGACTCCTCCACCCGGACGCAGCCATAATGTGATACCACAGTCAAGACCATTAAGTAGTTCTCTTCTAGGAAATACAGCCCCCTCTAGGCTCCTGTCTGGGTATACATCCTCAGCCATTTCGTCTACTTTAAGTACTGGTATGTCCCAGCATGGGCAGGATGGATACTCAACCAGTCAGAAAGTGTCTGCCTTGTCACATGCTTCCGTTTCGACCAGTCAGCAACCAGTAAGAGGAGTGTCTCTAAAGTCCAACATTTTATTGACCTCAGGTAAGCTGTCAACAGGTCACTTTGACACAAAACCTACAGGCACCAAAGAAAAATCAGGTCAATCACAAATGAAACAGAAGTCAAAGAAACGAGCCGCAGAAGAAAGATTTGAATTCGATAAATATAAGGCCAAGGCCCCTCGTTATGATCTTGGGAAGGTAATTCCAGAAGAAAAAGGAGTAGAGGTGCCAAAGTTTGTGAATCCAAGCAAGGATCCCAGTCTGAACAGACCAGCTATTCCAATGCATGATGTCAATGGCTTAAAGGTAAAAAAAAAAAAGAAATAACTTGGAATATGTAACCAACAAATAGCAGCTCTAAAATAGATCTGTATGTACAGGGTGTTTCAGAAAACATGCAACCATTTACTTTCCTCACTTTATTTATATGCAGACAGAAACATATGAAAGTTTTATATAAAATTATGCTAAAAAGGCCAAAGTTTTTATTAATAACAAAAATTTAGAAAAAAATTACCATTTGAATTAATTATGACGTCATATTTGACATCACTGAAAAAACAGATAATTTCATTCTTAATATGGAATTTAATAAAAAGCAATTATCAGGAGTTCCGATTCTGCTTTATCAGAGCATGTCACCAGTTCCTGTGATTAGGACAATGTAAATAAGGTTTACAGAATGCAAAGAACTTACTAATAGTAATATAAAGTGGAAGTTGTATAATTAAATCTGTAAAATTTTGCAGCTAATTGAAGAGGTAATGCATGATCAAAGAAATTTAAAGAAAAAAATGAAGAAAAAGACAGTTAGAACACATGAAAACATTTAGAATGTTAAAAAGAGGCATTGTTCCAGAGACTCACGTGAAATCCTTTTGTAAAATAACTGAGTTTGGGAACAAATTGAGCAAGTCAAGTGTAGATCAGATGCTGAAATATGTTTTGAATCTTAAACCTTGGACTTGTTAGAACAAATGTTTGGAGGATCATTCAACTCTTTCAAATCCATTAAATTTGGTCTCCATGCACACTCACCTGACTTAACATCCCTTGACTTTTATCTGTGGGGATATTTAAAGGTCAAAGTTTTTAAAATACACCCCCCCCCCAAAAAAAAAAACAAACAAACAAACAAATGAACTCAAAATGGTTCGAAAAATGAGACCTGATTCATTACCAAGAGACTCTCTGCAATAGTAATGAAAACTTTCTTGCATCGGATAGATTTAATATTCATTCAGCAAAAATGACGCCATTTAGAACATATTTTGTAACTAAGTGAAATTTTACAAGTTTCTTTTTTCTTTTGTAATTCATTATCTGTATGCCATATTAACTTTATTTTCATAAGAATAAATTTTGAAATTGTGACTATTAATTTGATATGTTGGTGCATGGTTTTGGTTGAAAAACCAGTAAAATTTAATCAATCAAAATGGTTGCATGTTTTCTGAAACACCCTGTATAGAGTTTAGCATACATCTTCACAATTTTCTGTGAAAAGAAATTGGCATCATGACCATATGATTACCATTATCACTGTTTTATGAACATGATTACAACTGACATTCTTTTATCCTGTACAGGGTGATACTGTGCAGATAGAAAATCAAATAAAGTAACATTATAATGATTTATATTTGGGGATTAAAAACTATTGTGTTTTAAGGAGTTTCCATTTCAACCATCTTTGCTCTCAGCTAGATTTTTCTCCATTACTTTGTTGTAGCCAGGTATACAGTTTATCTGTGTTCTCTATACCTGGCTTTCACTATTTCTCTATAGCTGGCTCTTATCAATGCTGTGAGTGGATCCCTGATTTGTCAGCCAGACTTCTCCAAGAGCAATGACCTCACCAGGAGAGCCCTGTCTGAGATGTCAGAGAGGGTCGTGGCCTATGACCCAGAGTTCATTCTCAAGGTACATTGTGAAAATATCAATTTTTAGATTTATATACTTTTTAAAATGAATTACTTATAAATCAAATAATCATTTTTACCCTCAATTTAGAAATTTGATAAAATTACAATTATTTTATAGTACAGTGCTTGGATTTGTGTATATAATCTTGTAGAGGAAAAAAACCTAATCTTGTATCATGTCTGCATATTTATAGGTTGCTTTGTACACAAGAAAGGAACTAAACATCAGAACAACAGCAAACTTCCTTCTGGCTCTCTGCTCAAATGTAGAGGTCTGTCGGCCATATCTAAAGAAGTACTACTGTGCTTCCATCCAGCTCCCATCTGACTGGATAGAGGTGGCAGAGATATATCAGGTAAGTGTGACTTAATAGAGATGGTAAAACTGTATCCAGTCAGGATAGAGGTGGCAAAATTGTATCCAGTCAGGATAGAGGTGACAGAGATATATCAGGTAAGTGTGACTTAATAGAGGTGGTAAAATTGTATCCAGTCAGGATAGAGGTGGCAGAGATATATCAGGTAAGTGTGACTTAACAGAGGTGGTAAAATTGTATCCAGTCAGGATAGAGGTGGCAGAGATTTATCAGGTAAGTGTGACTTAACAGAGGTGGTAAAATTGTATCCAGTCAGGATAGAGGTGGCAGAGATATATCAGGTAAGTGTGACTTAACAGAGGTGGTAAAATTGTATCCAGTCAGGATAGAGGTGGCAGAGATATATCAGGTAAGTGTGACTTAATAGAGGTGGCAAAACTGTATCCAGTCAGGATAGAGGTGGCAAAATTATATCCAGTCAGGATAGAGGTGGCAGAGATTTATCAGGTAAGTGTGAATTAACAGAGGTGGCAAAATTGTATCCAGTCAGGATAGAGGTGACAGAGTTTTATCAGGTAAGTGTGACTTAACAGAGGTGGTAAAACTGTATCCAGTCAGGATAGAGGTGGCAGAGAATCATCATATACATGTAAGTCTGTTTTGATGGGGATAGTAGAGATGTAAGTTGAGTGTATGGGTCTTGATAGAGGTGGCTATTGTCTTCCAGTTTAGTCTACTAGAATGAGGTGGCATAATAAATTAAAAACTAGGCTTTTTGATATCAAAGACCATTGCTTCTTCAATAAAAATGGAATTCAAAAATTTTCATATCTTGTGATTGGTCATCTTTGAAATTACATTGTAAAAAATCCCTCTGATTCTACACATAAGTACTCTGAGGTTAATATTCAAAGGATCCTCTTTGAAAACTTCTGTATAATCTTTGGAGATTAGGTCTGTTGAAAATTTGATGGGCACTAATTGTGCTCCTTTATTAGCAGACCTGGTTTTATATTCCAATGAAGCAGAATTTATTCAAAAACTTCGGCATGAGAAGAAAACACTTCCTGTGGCCTTCAACTCAACATTCACATATATTGACAACATTTTATCAATTAACAATAGTTACTTCCATTCATATGTTGACTCGATATATCCAGCAAGTGAACTCGATAAAAAAGACACCACAGAGTCTGCCACATCTGTTTCTTATTTGGATGTTTTACAGACTATGGACAATGAAGGCAAACTAACAATTAAACAGTGAAACAAACGAGATGACTTCAGCTTTTCCATTGTCAACTTTCCTAATTTATGTAGTAATATTCCACTGTCACCTGCATATGCTGTGTATGTCTCCCAACTTATTCAATACTCAAGAGCATGCTCTGAGTATGATCAATTTGAAAACCAAGCAGGCTACTGAACATAAGTTGATGTTAAAGGGATTACAACAACCTCGTTTAAAGTCAGCATTTCGTAAATTTTATGGTTCAACTGTTACAATGACCTTGTTAGCAAATACAACCAATCATTGCGTCTTATTTTGACAGACACATTTTATACCAATTGTTAGCCCTTTGTTTTTATACTAACAGTAAATTTGACTCCAGATTATTCCATCTACCTGGTCAATATGTAGGGCTTATGACAGGTGTGACTGGTCAACAGGGGATGCTTACTCCTTCTAGGCACCTGATCCTTTCTCTGGAATTTCCAGAGATCCATGTTTCATGCCCTGTTTACAGATTTGTAGTGTTTGTAGGTTTTTTTGAGGTCTATCTCTGTTCGCTATCTTTACCTTTTTCATGTATCAGATGAGTGGGAATAGATAGATATATCAGTGGCAGAGATCTTATCACTGAATATGCAAAAAAAAAAGAGCTGGCAGATAACCCTCTTCTCCAGTTATTTTATTTTAAATAAATTTACCTGCTGTAAAATTTAAATATGCAGCAAAGCTTTATCTCTGATGTCATAAGTTAACATTTTCTTTAGGGCTTTCTAAGATAACAGTGTCAGCCCATTCAAAGTGATGGGCATTGAACATGTTGTATTAAGGACCCTCTATACACCAGTGCAAAATGTTTTTTAGACATTGAGAAAATTATATTGTATATAGGGGTAAATTTTGAGCTTAACTATATAATTTTCAATATATGGTACATGGCATTTACCCCCAGGAAAAATGTTCAAAGACAACAAAATATCAATGAACAGAAATCACTGTTGTTTACTTCAGTGGATAAAATATATGCAAATGAAGTGTTCAGTTAATTTATCTTGGCCTTTTAAATTGTTAAGAATGCTTGAATTGATTACAAATTGAGAAATACACTGTAGATTTCAATTTATTTGAATTTAGATCTAAAGGTAGATCACTCTAACTGCAGAAAAATACCACAGAATCAGAACTCTTTAGTGTGCAGTGTATAGAGGGTTCTTAATCGAAGCATTAAATAATGATACATTTAAATGGGTACTTTATATTGAAGTAATGCTAGTAATGTGTAATGCCAAAAAATCTGCATTACATGTAATGGTAATTAATGTCATGCATTTCTAAAAACTACTGTAAAGCTGGCAATGACATTACAATGCATTCATGTATACTCATTTTCTTAAACTGAAATTGAATTCAAAATGGACATGGAAATCATTTTTAAGATTAATCTTTTTTAAATGTTGATGATTTGTTTTGTGGCAGGCCTTCCATGACAGAAATTTGTCCCACGGCTCTCTGCCAGCAGCCCTACGTAAAGCCATGATCATGAAGTTCCCCGAGTTTGACCAGTATCAGTTAGGTAAGGCATCTACAATAAATGACCAATATGTACTTAACACAATTAAAAACTTTCATAGATGTGTTAACTATTGTTGGGTACCAGAGATGCTTTTTTAATCAAATTGAAAAAAATCAAATACAGTAAAATCAAGCTTATATTAAAAGTGAAAGCAAGATGGATTTCCTTCCCTGAAGATTTAAAACATATCAGTTATAATGTTAATAATGAATCAGAATTGTTCATTTCTGTGAATTTCATAAAAGCATGTTTTAGTGTATACTGAAAAAAATCCAGTAACATACACACTCATTTTATGATTCTGTTTGAAATGATTGAAAATTGAGTTATGGCCAAATACAGAAAATCCAAAACAATTGTGGTTAGGGTATAAAAAAACACAACAATGAAGTCATGTTTGTTACAATATTGTAGCAAAATACAACAAGGAAAGCTCTATGAAGAAAAAGAAGAAAAAAGAGAAGAAGGAAGCCTCTTCAGTCAGAGGTCGCGGAGGGCATGCTGGGGTCAGAGGACGGGGAGGTCGTGGTGGGGTCAGAGGCCGGGGAGGGTATGGTGCATTTAGAGGTGGAGGAGCCAGTAATGTGTCAACCAATCAGAGAGACAGGTGGGATTCCGATAGCGATGAGGAAAGTGATGAAGGAGAAAATATCCATCGTCAGGTTAGATATATTAGTAAATAGTTTTCTTAGTATGCTTATATTTAATGTTGATAAATTTAAATTTAGATTATAAATAGTTAATCAGTCCGAGATGTTCTCTTTTATATAGCATAAAATTACTCCCAAATATTTAAGGAGTGAATAACGTACAATTTTACAATCCAATAATGCCTTAATTTTTCTCATGCATGCCATTCGTAGTGTTAGAAGTCTACAAATAAAATAATTCCCAAGATTTCAAGAACTCAGGCTTCATATTAGAGGGCAGATTTCCGTAAGATAATAGAATTATTTTTACAGCTGAGTGACATGGTTTATTTTTACAGCTGAGTGATGTGGTCTATGATTCTAAGATAATAGAATTATTTTTACAGCTGAGTGATGTGGTCTATGATTCTAAGATAATAGAATTATTTTTACAGCTGAGTGACATGGTTTATTTTTACAGCTGAGTGATGTGGTCTATGATTCTAAGATAATAGAATTATTTTTACAGCTGAGTGATGTGGTCTATGATTCTAAGATAATAGAATTATTTTTACAGCTGAGTGACGTGGTTTATGATGAAGAAGATCACACACAGGAGGAGATGGAGAAAATCAAATTCTCCATTAAACAATTGATCCGTAAACTTCACATCATCGAACCAGTGGACCATGTCATGTCCATAATCGGCAAAAAGTCAGTATATGATATCCATGCCATTAGTGTTGTAAATACAATATTTGGAAAGTCATTACAGTTTTTTGAACAGCTTGGCAGATATGCTGTATAATAATATATTGTACTAATTAAGTTTTTAATTCACAAAAGGATACCTTGTTACCATATTACAAGTAATTCCTAAGGATATCGAATTAGTGCATTTAGAATGCAATATGCTTCACTCGTAAGAATGGCTATAAAGATGATCAAAATAGCTCTAGTAAAAACAATTCTTGTTAACAAAATCTGAAAAACAACCTTTCAGAAAGAAAGTTATTGAAATTCAAACTCCCTGATCTAGGTTAGTTTTCAGATTTTTTTTTTGAAGTTGACCTTTGTTTTAGATACCCAGACACCCTAGAGGCATTTTACAAATCTCGACTCCCTGGGGAATGGGATCAGGATAGAGCTGGGAAGAGGATGAAGCTTCCCGTTCCTGAGACATGGGAAACACAGGTGTCCCTCAAAGGGAACAAAGCCTCTACTTGGGAGGATCTCATTGGTTAGTTATTATCTCAGCTACTGATTTCATTGGACGATAATTATCATTTCTTCTGATTTCATTGGACAATAATTATCATTTCTTCTGATTTCATTGGTCATTTATTATCTTAATGCTGATGAGCAGTTTAATTTCTTACCAGAATCTCTCTTCAGTACATATATGTATTATTGTATTTAATATTTGTAGCAAAAAATAAATACTTCACATTTCAATAAGCAATTTTTTATTTAACAGATCACAAAAAGCTGCCATTTATGGCTATGTTGAGGAACTTAAGGAATCTGATCAAAGCTGGAATTTCCCAGAAACACCATCAGCAGGTTCTCCGTAGACTCACTGATGAGGTATAGTGTGTGTTACTTAATGTTATGGTATCAAATATCAAGCTGAAGGGGTAAGAGGAGGGAGGGACATAAGGATGAAAAATTTCTTTGTCCGTCTGTTGATCTATTTATTTGAAGTTGCTTCCAGTGGAAAATAGAGGAAAAATCTCTTCTAAAAAACCCACTTGTAAGATAATAAATAAATTTTCTCTAAAACCTGCAACATACATGTAAAAGAGTAAATTTTTAGACGGTCATATTATACCCATCGGATAGGGCAAAATTTTAAAACAATTATGTTCAACTAGAATGTATAATGAAAATATCAATATGTATTTTGATATTAGAATTAAGTGAGGTATGCAGCCTAAAGAGGGATAAAAGCTATAAAGATTTAATCTGTGCTTTGAGGTCAAGGTCAGAACAATTAATTATAAAGACTAAGATGACACAAAAGATTTTCTTTGAAGTTTTACTTATATGTGATTTTGCAATTTTTTCTCAAACACTGAAGAAAGCAACACATTCCTGACACATCAGGTGATTTTGTATTCTATGTACTGCCTGGTATTCACTTAATTAATTTTTATTTCAGAGACAAGTTGCCAATAGCAAGCAGTTTCCCTTCCGTTTCTTTTCTGCCTATGAAGTTCTAAGTGGACTTGAAAAGGAATATGAAACAACTCGTATGTATATATTTGATGACCCATAATGTACCATATATATGATTAAATCTGTGGATTTTTTTTTCAGTCGATTGTCAAATAACAAAACTGTTTATAGGTTAGTAGGTAATATACTTTTGCCTTGTACATGTGCATGTACATTATATGTACGTGTAGCCTCAAAGAGTAAATGTTTGTTAATTGTTTCACAAAGAAATATTTAAATGCATATATTGACTAAAAGGTATATGAAAAATGAAGCGAAAAAAATTCTGGGAGAGTTGCAATCGGATCATTTTTTAATTCTGCCCCAAAGATTCAATTGCGATTTCTTTTCATGATGGTGTTGATATGAGTGATTATTATGCTTGAATTGAAATGAGGGAATATTACAGGATGTGGATTTGGTAGAATGAATTCACTGCTAAATTCAGTAGAAGACTTCTCATAAAAAACAAAAAAAAAACAAAAACAAAACAAACAAACACACCCACCACCAAAAGATTACTATGAACTAACGCAGTTATTCTTATATAATACAAGTCATTATGTACTTTGAGACTGTTTTTGTTTATTAGAATCTCGAGATACTGATTTATAATTTTAGAGAGGAAGCTTGTGGAGCAGGCTGAGATGGAAGCCTCCGGTATCTCTGGGTCTCGAGCCCCTGTGAGGAGAGGAAGAGGAAGGGGTCGGGGCCGGGGACGTGGGGGGAAAGGAGAAAATTGGTGGATTGAAAAGAAAAATAAAGAAAAGGAAGAAAAAAAGAAACCAAAGTAATAGTTTACTCAAAGAATTCTAATTCATGTTACTCTAAGCAATGTCATTTAAGTGGGACATTTAGTTTGAACAAAAATAAGTAAAACCTTAATGAAAGAAGTGATCAGAGTTGAATTATACTTTCATATTTAGATCAACTTTGTCTTTAAGTGATGGGGAATTGCTTTTTTCTCACAGAGAGACAGCCTTTGACAAGGCAATCATCAATCGTTACAAGAAAGCGCTGGACACAGCGGTCAAGATAGCCACAGTGTACAATGTCCAGCCAATCAGGGGCCGAACTATAGTGCTGTCTGACTGCAGCGATAGAATGAGGGTCAATTGTACTGCTGCCAGGGGCCTTGGAAAACCTAGAGAGGTAAGGAAAGATAGGGGGGATGGGTCAACTGTGTTGTAGGGCTAAGAAAATCCAGGCATTAAGAGAAAAATAGATAAACAAATGTACCAAATTCCACAGCAAAGATATTAAGACAGATATATATGTAATTTTTGAAAGCCCAGAGAGATAAAAAATAAGTGTCTGCTGAATATGTGTATATAGAAAGTGATAAGTACATATACATTGTATATCAGTTTGGAAATCCAGGATAATTAATTTAATTGTTTTTGTTTTCTCTATCTTTCAGGGTTTCTTAATTACATTCTTTATATTCAATAAATCACATATCAGTAATCAGATCACTTTAATTTTTACTTGCAGAGGCAGATACTCATATGTTATTATTTGTGTGGTGGTGTCTTCTATCCTACATGCATACCTAATTTGATTACTGTACATTTAATAGAAGATTGGATACACATACATTTTAAGAAGACTGCTATTTGATTACATACATGTATACTGTTTTGACACAGATGTTAGAGGTGGCACTGCTAATGGGGCTGATGTGTAAATACTCGTGTGAGGAGTGTGAGTTTGTCACCTTTAAGGAAACCACCTGGGAACAAGCCAGTGTGGAGCCTGGAACCATTTTAGACAATCTAGACAACCTGCTGAAAAAGGTTAGAAGTTTATTGCCAGCCATCTTGAATTATCTGTTACATTTATTTGAAAAGACTAAATGCTAATAAATCTCACTAGAAACCTCAACAGGTTAAATGTGTTGTACTTTTTTCGCAAATTCTTGTTCTGATTTTTGTGAAGTGCTGAAAATCTAAAAGTATGTAGTAAAATTTTTGCAATATGTGACATTTTTTTGGTAGATAAATTTCCCAGATGTCAGTGGAAAGACAGAAAAAATGCCAAATGGGTTCCCAGAGTCCATTCTGATGGAGAAACTTAGAGATAGAATACAGGTACACAAATTGTCTGTAGAATTCATAAAGAAATGATAGGTTGGAGACAGTCTGCTATGACATTTGACATTGCTATATAATACTGCATTATCTACAAGTAGCAACTAAAATGCAATGAGGGTCTTGCATCAAAATGTAGAAATCACTTTGTCCATCTGTCTGTATTTATCTGCCACTCTCATACTGCCATGACCTGGACAACTTTTTTAGGGTTTATTCTGTACAAAATCCATGAAATTTGATATCTAAACAGTCACTAATATTGAAGTAATATTAGGATCTCTTTTTTGCTGCAGGTGGATAACATTGTTGTCCTTTCTGGGGGAGATCTTGCCGCCAGTCAGCAGAAAATTCTCTCTAATTTCCTGAAGAAGTACCGACAGATTGTCAACCCTAACCTTCTCTATGTCAACATCTCCTTCGCAGGAAAAGGCTGTGGGTGAGTGAACACATTGTCTCCAGCAATATTTGTGTATTTGGATTTCTCTGTCATTTAAAATGATCCTTCAATATTCATTTTATGCAAAACAATTGATTTAAATATAAATACGTCCTTGTATGTATAATGATAAATGACCTTTGGTTTACTTTCAGTTTCTCTCAGTCTATCAAACCTGAGCATGATAATGACATCTACATCTCTGGTTATAGTGATGCAATTCTCAGGTAACATTATCAAATCTCTGTACAATATAGTATGATTTAACTTCTGTATCTTGAACATTGATATCTTAAATACCATGGATATATTTAAGTGCATTCAAAGTCCCAACCCCCTTTTCTTTATGTATTTTGACCTCAATATCTCAGATTCCTGGATATATCAAAGTTTGTTCTCAGCCTCATCGAGTTCAATATAATGAGGTTTGACTGTAATACATTATTTTCATAGATTGAAAGAGTCCAATTTATTTGTCTTTCATGAAAAATATACAAGATGTATGTGTGACACGAATGTTTTGAGAAAGGCCTAAGTCAACAGAGAAACAAAGTTGACCGATGAAAGCTATCCTTACAATACTAATAACAGTAGTGGGGATATTCAAAACAACAAATTTTGAGAAATACATGAACTCAACAATTCCAAACATTCACATACATGCTTGAGACTTTTTTGAAAACTAAATATGAGATTAAGGATCTGGCGACATCCTCGAGTGGTAGACAACCTTTTTGATCACAGGAGTTACTTTTTCACAATTTTTTTTATCAGACATAAAACATTACAAAATTATGGATCAGACAGATTTTACATGTACATGTACAATCCACTTAACCTTGATCTGATTTGCAAATATGTAAAGAAAATCACTGCATATATGAAATATTTTGAAATTTGTTTCCAGGTTCATAGCAGAGAGAGGGGAAGGTGGACAGTTAATTCATGTTGAAAAAATTGATGAGGCTTATCAGCTGAAACCCCTGGCAGGAGTAGCCTTAGAAAACACAAAGACTGTCCCTGTTTCCAAACCAGAGAAACCACTGGTTCTGCTCTCAGGAAAACCAAGGTACAGTGTTGTAAATATCACTTATAAGGAAGAGGGTGCTTCATTACTTTGTGATTTTCATGATTATCAAATGAGAAATAAGTCTGTTTGTAAAAGAAAATATTTTTAAAGAAAAGAAGAAATGCACAATTTTCAAAATTTCAGAAATTGATAAATTTTTTTGGTATAAAATTTAAGCTGGAGAAAGACCAGAGTGTTTATCTCATCCACCTTCAGAGATATGCACGGAGAAAGAGATGTCCTGACTCGCTTCGTCTTCCCAGAACTCCGAGCACTTGGAAGGAAGCACTTCATTAACATACAGGAAGTGGATCTAAGGTGGGGAATCACAGAGGAGGAGAGTAACAGGTGAGTATTAATACAGGAGTCATGGAATGGTCAAGGGGTCACAAAAAGAATATGGGTATTTTAACTAGGTTCCAAAATGCTAATACACATATTATAGACTCAATCATATTACTGTAAGTCACTAAATTTTCGAGACACTTTTTTTACAGGATTGTTTTTTTGGTGTTTATAAGCAAAAAAACATTTTCATGAACTTTGGTTTATGCTCTATATAATCTTTAATAGGAGTATCATACATGAGATTGAAATTGTTTGTGAGCAGGTGGTCTCATGTAATTATGCGAAAATAAAATTCTCATAAATAAAAAGTGATTTACAGTAATTGGAAAGGGGGTTATAAATTTTCATGGTTTTGTGGGAAAGTCTCTAGTTTTTCTAATTATAATTCAATGTGTGAGATGACAAGAGATTTTTATGTATTTACAGAGCAATTGAACTTTGTCTGTCAGAAGTGATGACTTGTGAGTTCTTCATGGGCATCCTGGGAGATCGCTATGGTTACGTTCCTGATAACTACAATGTACCAGATATGGAGGACTTTGATTGGCTTAAGACCTATCCACCAAAAGCTTCAGTTACTGAGCTAGAGATGCACTTAGGTGCATTGTCCAACCCCAGCACACACATGGGAAAAGCTTTCTTCTACATACGTGACTCCAGCTTTGAGAAGTGAGTTTCAGAGAGTCAGTCAGACATTTAATGTGTATATGATAAATATTAATCTCCTGTAAGAGTATCTTGACATGATCTCATAAATAGACATTAAAATACTAAATTAAAACAATAAAAGAGCAAAATGAAGGCAACAAAGGATATTGGAATTGTCCATGCATTGAACGTATGCAAAACAGAGGTGAATTTGATTGAAATTGGATAATATGTGATGTTTGCTTTTGCACCGATTTTTAGGAATATTGATGCAGTACAACTCTCATTTACAGAATTTACAGTTGTTTATATATATATATATATATATAAAACAAAAAATTAAAGGGATGCTTAGTTATGGCTATTTTCAACCACAATTTAGAATGCATGTACATGTACATATGTTTGCTACAAGACTCTTATGGAGTGTTCTGGTTAATGTAGTTGTAAATGTCTTGCTGGTTAACAGTTTTTTTTTTAAATTTCTGTTTTGTTTTCCATTAGGGACCTTCCAACAGAGCTACACTCTGAGTTTATGACAGAGAGTCCCCAGGTTCGAGGTAAACTTGAGGATCTGAAGAATCGGGTGGAATTTAGTGGCTTTGAAGTTTACAAAGGGTGAGTTCTACTTATTACCCAAAACAGTTAGATAAATGCACAGTGTGGTAGATTTATAATTGGCATACTTTGTTTGTTTGATGAAAAAGATTATGAAAAGATGCATTAGATACTGATTTCTTTGTAACAACAGGTACCCTTGTCACTGGGGTGGAGTTATCAATGGGAAACCAATGGTAGCGGGCCTGGAGAAGTTTGCCGTCCGAGTTCTTAATAACCTGTGGAATGCCATTAAGAAGGCATACCCAGATGAGGTGAGGAATACTTTAGCAAAGAAAGAAGAGCAAAAAAAAAATGCATTCCCTAGATCTGAATTTTATCAAGCATACCGATAGAATATTGAAATGTGTCTAGTGTGCATGTTTTTATTTCACTCCAATTGTCAATTGTTGCCTAACATCTGTTTTTCTAACATGTTTCAAATTTAAATGATTAAGCAGTAAAGATTTAATTAACACTCTGTGAAGGCCATCCTGAATTTCAAGTAACCTATTTAATTTCTCTTCATCATTATACTCTCACTTGAAAACCGGGAGTGTATTGTGATGGGGCTGTCCGTTTCTATGTTCGTCCATCCTATCTTCTGTCTGTTATGCTTTGGGGTACCCATCTCTTATCCACAACTCCGCCTATACCAATGAATAAAATTTAATGATACTTTCACAGAATCTTTATTACATAATGCTATAGTGCACCTCTAAATTTATTTTTTGATCAGACACATATTGGGTTAACAATAGCAAAGCATGAACACTGCCATTCTTTCTATAATATTGGGGTACCCATTTCTTATCTGCAACTCCTCCTATATATCTGAATAAAATTTAATGATACTTTCACATAATCTTTATTACATATAGTGCCATTGTGCACCTTCTACTTTATATTTTATTGAACAGATATTTGGGTTTTCCCATAGCAAAAAATGGACTTTGCCATCATACTCCTATGAGAGTGGAGGAGGTGGGGGGAGGGGAAGGTTTCATTTTGTGATCTCACTGCTCACAGTGCCTCTAGTTTTATTAGCTCACCTGAGCTTAAAGCTCAAATGAGCTTTTCTGATCACCCGTTGTCCGTCGTCCGTCCGTCTGTCCGTCCGTCTGTAAACTTTTCACATTTTTGACTTCTTCTCAAGAACCACTGGGCGAATTTTAACCAAACTTGGTACAAAGTATCCCTGGGTGAAGGGGAGTTAAAATTGTTAAGATAAAGGGCCAAGTCCCCTTACAAGGGGAGATAATCAAGAAAAGACAAAAATAGGGTGGGGTCATTAAAAAATCTTCTTCTCAAGAACCACTGGGCCAGAAAAGCTGAAACTTATGTGGAAGCATCCTGGGGTAGTGTAGATTCTAAATTGTTAAAATCATGACCCCCGGGGGTAGGGCGGGGCCACAATAGGGAATCCAAGTTTTACATTGACATATAGAGGAAAAATCTTGAAAAATCTTCTTCTCAAGAACCACTGGGCCAGAAAAGCTGAAACTTATGTGGAAGCATTCTTGGGTAGTGTAGATTCTAAATTGTTAAAATCATGACCCCCGGGGGTAGGGCGGGGCCACAATAGGGAATCCAAGTTTTACATTGAAATATATAGGAAAAATCTTGAAAAATCTTCTTCTCAAGAACCACTGGGCCAGAAAAGCTGAAACTTATGTGGAAGCATCCTTGGGTAGTGTAGATTGTAAATTGTTAAAATCATGACCCCCGGGGGTAGGGCGGGGCCACAACAGGGAATCCAAGTTTTACATTGAAATATATAGGAAAAATCTTGAAAAATCTTCTTCTCAAGAACCACTGGGCCAGAAAAGCTGAAACTTATGTGGAAGCATCCTTGGGTAGTGTAGATTCTAAATTGTTAAAATCATGACCCCCGGGGGTAGGGCGGGGCCACAATAGGGAATCCAAGTTTTACATTGACATATATAGGAAGAAATCTTGAAAAATCTTCTTCTCAAGAACCACTGGGCCAGAAAAGCTGAAACTTATATGGAAGCATCCTGGGATAGTGTAGATTCTAAATTGTTAAAATCATGACCCCCGGGGGTAGGGCGGGGCCACAATAGGGAATCCAAGTTTTACATTGAAATATATAGGAAAAATCTTGAAAAATCTTCTTCTCAAGAACCACTGGGCCAGAAAAGCTGAAACTTATGTGGAAGCATCCTTGGGTAGTGTAGATTCTAAATTGTTAAAATCATGACCCCCGGGGGTAGGGCGGGGCCACAATAGGGAATCCAAGTTTTACATTGAAATATATAGGAAAAATCTTGAAAAATCTTCTTCTCAAGAACCACTGGGCCAGAAAAGCTGAAACTTATGTGGAAGCATCCTTGGGTAGTGTAGATTCTAAATTGTTAAAATCATGACCCCCGGGGGTAGGGCGGGGCCACAATAGGGAATCCAAGTTTTACATTGAAATATATAGGAAAAATCTTGAAAAATCTTCTTCTCAAGAACCACTGGGCCAGAAAAGCTGAAACTTATGTGGAAGCATCCTTTGGTAGTGTAGATTCTAAATTGTTAAAATCATGACCCCCGGGGGTAGGGCGGGGCCACAATAGGGAATCCAAGTTTTACATTGAAATATATAGGAAAAATCTTGAAAAATCTTCTTCTCAAGAACCACTGGGCCAGAAAAGCTGAAACTTATATGGAAGCATCCTGGGATAGTGTAGATTCTAAATTGTTAAAATCATGACCCCCGGGGGTAGGGCAGGGCCACAATAGGGAATCCAAGTTTTACATTGAAATATATAGGAAAAATCTTGAAAAATCTTCTTCTCAAGAACCACTGGGCCAGAAAAGCTGAAACTTATGTGGAAGCATCCTTGGGTAGTGTAGATTCTAAATTGTTCAAACAGGACCCAACGGGGTAGGGTGGGGCCACAATAGGTATTACAAGGGGGGGGGGAATCTGGTAAAGAACAGCATGGCCAAAGTTACTCAGGTGAGCGATGTGGCCCATGGGCCTCTTGTTTTAACTTAGCGTTGAAAGTGTAATTTTAATGATTAATTACTATCAATACATCAGGAGGCCATTTTGGATGAGAACATACATATTGCCAAGCAACACGAGGCTGTGGTGGAGAGCCACAAGGAGAAGTTTATTGGTCGGAAAAAACTCATCAAGGAATGCGTGACACACATCATGGAGAGAAAATCCAACATAATCGCACTGAATGGCAAAGCTGGGACTGGGAAAACTGCACTTCTGGTAGTTATCCTCCTGTCCTATCTTATACAGGATTGATTTCCTGTCATTGTATCTGCACTCTGCCCTGGATTCTCTAAATTGATTAGGTCTAAAAATATAAATAAAAAGAACAATAGAATATTTTGGAAAAGTAAAAATTATTGTATACTTACTCCCACTGATTCAGTTTCTTTATGCAATTTTATAATTGGAAAATGCAAACAATTATTGATATTATCAGTTAAAACTTGGGCTAATTAAACATAGTGATAGTTTGAAGACATAAACTGTTTTTTTTTTCAGTCAGCAATTGTCCACAACTACATTGAGAACCCACAGTGTGATGGTGCTCACTCAGTTCTGGTTCACGTGGTCGGTGCTGCCCCCGGCTCAACAAACATTGTGGCTACTCTGAGGAGGTTGTGTTATGAACTTAAGAGACAGTTTGGTGTGGACACTGAGATTCCCGAGGACTTCAAGTATGGATTCTGTCTTATCATAAGAGGGATAGTAAAAGGGTTTCTCTGCCCTGAATGACATATTTCTATAACAATTTAGACAATAAGAAAATCAAATCCACACTTAGAAAACATAAATATTGTGAAGTAAAGAAGATATTAGCCTTCACATACTTTTCGCTATTCAGAAATACTTTGAATTAAAGGCTGCTTTTTCAGGCAAATTCTGGTCAAATTTCCAAAAAGTCTGAGAATTTCAATTATTTTGACTTTTTAAACAGTTTCAAAATTGAAAAGCCAAACATTAATGTTTGAACTTTTGTGTAAAAATCACTGGCTATTATTAGTCATCACCTAATCTTGTGACAGAAATTTGACCCAGAAGTTCAGTGAGTTGCTGGAAGAGGGCGCTGCATCATGCTCTTCACCCTTGGTGCTATTTATAGATGGCCTTGATATGATGGAAAATACCCACCAACCTTACAACTTGGAGTGGCTGCCTCAAAACCTATCAAAGGTGAGGAATTCTGTACTATACTGTACCTACAAAGAAAGAAAGCTATCAGGAAACTTTTTTCAGTTTCTTGCATAATTTAATTTAGAAAATATATGTATAAAATCTTAGTTTAACAGACGATTCATCCGTCATTAATTTGATTTCAGAATGTGGTGTTCGTGATGACAACATTGGATGGTGGGAAGTGTCACAGATCACTAAAGAGACGACCTTTCACAGAGGTCATTGTAGGTGGCCTTGACATGTTTGACAAGGCAGAGGTTGTCAGGAACAATCTAGCAGTTTACAGGAAAAAGCTGGATGAATCTCCTTTCAAAAATCAGGTAAATTTTATGGTTTGTTCAGTATTGTCACAGTCACAAAAGCATATTTTGACCATAAAACTGTGTTAGAGAAGGGAGAGAATTTAGTCAACAAAATTCAGGTCATGTAGTATCAAAGAGGCCTTCCCCCTTGTCCAAACTTAATGTTTTACTAGATGTATTAATTAAGTATGAAAATTTTCATTGAAATGCTGGTCCCCCCTTTTTGTACATGTAGTATAGTCAAAATCCTCCCATTTTAGTGTATTCAAAAATGTTTGGAAAAAGTTGGAACACCCCCCCCCCCCCCCCCCCCCCCAACACATGAAATAGGTTTTTCTTGTCTGGAGAAGTTTTGCTTGTCAAAGATTTTTCAGGTAAGTTGTCGATCATCTCTCTGGCTCCCTCTTTGCTACATGCCTAGTATTTGGATTAATTATCACATATTTTTCATCTCATTTTTGGTCATCTTTTTTCTGACAGAATTTTTTTTAATTGCCCAATCATAGAACACATATTATGAAGTTTGATGCTGGGGTTGGAGGCCCTAGGATCTTCAAGCAATTACAATGTTTACCAATTGTACATTACAGTAGATGTATGAAGTGCATATTTTTTTAAAAGGAAAAAAAAACCCCAGAAACTTTACATTATAAACAACAGTTGTAAAATGAAGCCATGTGACTAAATGTATGTGTAATTTACATTTAGATGAAGTTCTTGATGGGGAAGAAGGATGCTGGGAACCCACTTTTCTTAAAGTTGGCTTGTGAAGAACTGAGGGTGTTTGGAAAGTTTGAAATGGTAAGCACAAAATTTCAAATCATAGTCTATCTGAGTACTCATAATAGATAATCAATTAGACAGTTATTTTGTCAGAAACTACTAATTATTTAACTGTCTGATTAAACAAAAATAATTTAATGATCCATTTGAATAAAATAAATGATTGATGACAGTATATTCAGAGTTACTACAATGATTTATGAAGAGAATTCTATCTTCTATATTGGTTTGTGAAATGATTTTTTATTTGTAATGGAAGACACATATTAAGATATATATAACCCTCGTGAACAGATATGCTGTATTATAGGTTCATTGCTTACTGATTTGGAAAAAAAGACTTCAGTGAAGCTATTTTGATTAACAAAATGAGTACAAATTGTAATGGTCTGATTTGATTTTGTAGGTGACAAGTAAGTTAAAATCCCTCCCTCAAACTGTTCCCCAGATGTTACAGGAAGTCCTTGGCCGCTTGGAGTCAGATTTGGGTCAGGAGGTTGTATCCTTGGCAATGTGTTTACTAGTCTGTAGCAGGGATGGTAAGGCAGCCATTTTTAATTATTCTTTATATAAAAGTCTATGGACAGAAATATTATTTGAGGATCTTTAATAAGCTTTGAACAGACACTCCACTTCCATATACCAATGAATGTTGTTTTTTTTTAACTGTGATATGTCTGATTTAGGCCTAATGCCGGAGGAACTCCACGATCTTCTGAGCCTCCACGATCTGCTGGACACCACTAAATACACCGCAGATGATGTCTTTAATGTTCTCCTGTCCCCAGACAAAATGATGCCTGCTGCAGTTTTCTCCCACCTATGCAGATCACTACAGACTTTTCTGAATCCACATGAAAACACGTAATTATTACAAATGCAGTTGTGTTAATCTTGTAATCTTACAGTAGGAAATATATTAATAATAAAATACCCTTTGAAACCATTTTAAATGTTCTAATTTTAAGTACAATTGTATTAAAAATTATTATTTAAAAGATGAGAAAGTATCTGTGAAGAGATAGGAACATTATACAATGTCGTAAAAACTATGATGTTCTGTTCATTAATTTACTATTAATCCAGAAAATATGGTACTGTGATTTAAAATTATGTCTATGGATATGTAGAAGTAAGACCTAGCTTTCATTAATTTAACAGGAACACCTGTTTGTCTCTTGCACACCTTGATGTAGCAGCAGCTGTTAGATCTCGGTACATGAAGAGTTCACAGGAGAAGGAGACTGGTTTACACCGGCTGATAGCTGGTTACTTCCTTCAGCTGGTAGATCCAGAACATGATGGATCATACAGTGGAAACAGCATAAGAGGATTCTCGGAATTACCTTATCACCTGGTATAATGAATTACTTTTTTATCTGGTAAATTGAATTACCTTTACACCTGGTATAATGAATTACCTTTACACCTAGAATAATGAATTACCTTATCACCTGGTATAATGAATTACCTTTACACCTAGTATAATGAATTACCTTATCACCTGGTATACTGAATTACCTTATTACCTGGTATAATGAATTACCTTATCACCTGGTATAATGAATTACTTTATTACCTGGTATAAATGAATTACATTATCACCTGGTATGAATGAATTACCTTATTACCTGGTATAACGAATTACCTTATCACCTGGTATAATGAATTATCTTTTCACCTGGTATAAATGAATTACCTTATCACCTGGTATAAATGAATTACCTTATCACCTCTGAATTACCTTATCACCTGGTAAATTGAATTACTTGATCATCTGGTATACTGAATTACCTTATCACCTGGTGTAATGAATTACCTCATCACCTTTGAATTACCTTATTACCTGGTAAATTGAATTACTTGATCATCTGGTATACTTAATTACCTTATCACCTGGTAGCTGCAGAACTGTAGCTCTCTGACTGAGAAAATTCAGACAAACGAACCAGAGAGCTACAGATACAATTTACAAGCATTGTAAAAACCTTCGATTTACAGCAATGCTTTTTAAAGAGAAAAAACACTAAAAGAGGAGAGTTTCTTATGGATATTGTAATGATTTCATCTTTTACAGTCTAATGGAGGGGAGTTTCTCCTGGATATTGTAATGATTTCATCTTTTACAGTCTAATGGAGGGGAGTTTCTCCTGGATATTGTAATGATTTCATCTTTTACAGTCTAATGGAGGGGAGTTTCTCCTGGATATTGTGATGATTTCATCTTTTACAGGCTTATGGAGGGGAGCTTCTCCTGGATATTGTAATGATTTCATCTTTTACAGGCTTATGGAGGGGAGTTTCTACTGGATATTGTAAACATTTCATCTTTTACAGGCTTATGGAGGGGAGTTCAAGGTTCTTGCTCAGGTGCTGTGTAGTTTGGAATTTATCAGCAACAAATGTCGACTCAGTCTTGGAAAGATTCTGTTAGAGGACTACCAAGAAAAAGGTGAGGGAAGGATCAATATTGGATATCCTGTTAATTAAAATGTGTGACATTATAAACAAACTTATGCAGGATGGAGAGTGAAATCTATAAACAAGGAACCACACAACATATTCTCAGATGACTTATGAAATAATTTTAGAGACTATGTAACATTTATTTTTGACATCAAGTACTGAAAGGAAAATGTTAAAAAATATTGTCACTAGAATGTAATTTTCGTATAAATAATTCTACTATAGAATTCACCAACAAAACAATGGAGCGTGAACAGCAAAGAATGCTGGGATTGCACCATTTCCAGGAATACAAGATGTTTGTGTCTCGCAACATTCATCTTTTAAATGAGTATGTGTTATTCTTTTTTCTCTTTTATTTTAAATATTTGTCTCTCAGATATGGTAATTTTTGGCTATTTGCTGGTCTATGTGTTGAAGATTCCAAACTCTGAACATACAATGTAGGAATCAATGACAGACTTTCATGTATTTTTAAATCAGGTATCCATCTTTGACATGGCAGCAGGCAATAAATGATATTAGAGACAGTGAACCTTACAAGGATGGCATACGAACACTGGACTCGGCTAAGCATCAGTCTGAGATGTACTTCAGGTGGTCCAACCGCCCACAAACTGAGGATCCTAACTACCTGACACTCAGCAACCTTCCACAGGTATCACAGATTTAACTCAATATTCACACTCAGCACCTCCCACAGGTAACACAGATTCAACTCAATGTTCACACTCAGCACCTCCTACAGGTATCACAGATTTAACTCGATGTTCACACTCAGCACCTCAAACAGGTACTGTGAAATCACTTATTTTCTTGGGAGTTAAATTTTCGTTGATTTCAAGGTATGATGGACCCATGAATTAATGTCCACCATGAAATGTAAAATATCATATACATAACCACTCATCAATTCTTCACCAATGAAATTAAATCCCCACAAACCCATATTTTTTCCTCAAATCATGAAAATTTGACCCCATGAAAATATGTGATTTTACAGTATCACAGATTTAACTCAATTTTCATTCTCAGCAACCTCCCACAGGTATCACAGTTTTAACTCAATCTAAGCAACTTTTCAGGAGAAATGCGTATTTTCTTATGTTTTGAAACATTCTCAAGTAACAAAAACAAGATGTGTTTGTGAAACACTGATGCCCCCGTATGGCAGCTTATGGCGAAGGTTAAAGTTTCTCAAACGCAAGTCAAAATCCAGGCCAAAAGACAAAAAATGTTAAATTTGAAAGCCCTAGCTGCAACTGTTCAAAAGTTATGGTGAAGGTTAAAGTTTTTTAAAAGTAAGTAAAACATCAAGTCAAGGTCAAAGTTGTTGGTATCCAAAGGAATGTCTTGTCACAAGGATTACATATGTGAAGTATGAAAGCCCTAGCGTCAACCATTCAAAAGTTATGGCCAAGTTTTAAGTTTTTTTAAAAGTAAGTCAAACTCCTAGGTCAAGGTCAAAGGGTCAAAGAGGTTGATATCCAGAGGAAGGTCTTGTCACAAGGAATACACATGTGAAGTCTGAAACCCCAAGCACCAACTGTTCAAAAGTTATGGCCAAGGTTAAAGTTTTTCAAAAGTAGGTCAAACTCCAAGATCAAGGTCAAAAGGTCAAAGTTGTTGGTATCCAAAGGAAGGCCTTGTCACAAAGAATACACATGTGAAGTTTGAAACCCCAAGCACCAACTGTTCAGAAGTTATGGCCAAGGTTAAAGTCTCATAAAATTTTACAAAAGTGGGTCAAACTCCAAGGTCAAGGTCAAAAGGTCAAATATGATGGTACCCAAAGAAAGGTCTTGTCACAAGGAATACACATGTGAAATATGAAAGTCATAGCTCCAACCAATCAAAAGTTATGGGTAAGGTTAAAGTCAACAGACAGACAGACAAACAGATAAACAGACAAACAGATAAACAGACAAACAGACAGACAGGACAAAAACAATATACCCCCGGGATCTTTCGATCCGGGGGCATAATTAGTCCTTGATACTCTGCCCTAGAAATGTAAAAATCATTCCATCATTTTCAACCTGTCACCAATATTTGTAACACCTCTCTTTTAGCATTTTGTGATGACCAGCACTTACATGTATGTTACTAAAATAAAACTTGTGTAGCTACCAGTTAAGACAATTCATTAAGACTGTTTCTCCATAGTGAGTCTTACTCTTGTAGCCTGTGACCTGTGTGGCCATTAGTAAGGATAATGCTTACTTTGTATGTGGAGGGCTTGATTGTGTTGTTCATCTTCATGATTTGGAGACAGGAAAGGTAAACCATTCAAACATTCCATATTTATAGCATTTTATACATTTTAGCTCACCTGAGCCAAAGGCTCAAGTGAGCTTTTTTGATCAAAATTTGTCCATTGTCGTTGTTGTCATTGTAAACTTTTTACAATTTCATCTCCAGAAGCACTGGCCCAATTTCAATTAAACTTGTCAAAGGATGTCCTTGGGTAAAGGGAATTCAAGTTTCTTCAAATAAAGGGCCATTTCCCTCTTCCAAGGGGAGATAATTAAGAAACCCATTCAAAGCATTCAAAGTTTAATATGGGTATACACTGGAAAAAACCTTTAAAAATCTTCTTCTCAAGGACAGCAAAGCAATATTTATGTCATATTTTATATGGAAGCATCATCAGATTGTGTCGATTCAATTTTTTTCAAATCATGACCCACAGGGATAGGAGGGGCTACAAGGGCTGATCAAATTTTACAAGGGATTATATAGGAAAAAGAATCTGCTGAAGAAGGGCCACAGTTGCTCAGGTGAGCATTGTGGTGCATGGGCCTCTTGTTAAATTGTGGTTCCATGTTTATCAATATATATATGTGTCTCTCTGATGTAACACAGGAAGTAAGAAGTTTCCATGGACACGCTGATGTCATCACTGACGTCTGCTTTGCTGGGAGGACTCATGTCTGCAGTGCTTCCCTAGACAACAATATCAGTGTGTGGCACTTAGATGATGGACACAGGTCAGTAATTCTGTCTCATTTTATTAGAGTGATAGTTAGATAATGCACCCTGCTCAGTGATATTCTCTTGTTTTATCAGAATAGTGTTTACCTGCACATGAGGATACCTGTGTTATATTTAGAATTCTCAAATTCTGGCTCTCAATTTCCAACTTCAGATAATTTTTTAATGCAGAAGCAGAAATTTTATGGTGGATAAAATATCTTTTATTTCCTGGAAAAGGTTCTTCAGTGGAATAAAAATCCCTATAGAAAATAAGAATTATGTACTACTAAATTAAAATTCTCCATTTATAAGCATGCTTGACATTCAAAAAAAAAAAATTTGAATTGGATTAAAATTAAAAACCCTCAAAAGGGAGAGAGAGTTATATATGTATCCACTCATGGTAGTGAACCCATCTGAGAAATTAAAAATAGAACAGTTGTAGATGCATACTTAAGAGGAAAAAACAACTTTTTAAAACTTAATTGCAGGGTACACATATTAAAAGGACACAAGAGAAGGGTTCAGTCTATCGCCTCAGATGTGTCTGGCAAAAATCTGGCATCAGCATCTTGGGATTGCACCGTCAAAGTGTGGAACGTCACCAAAGGGGAGTGTGTGTGTGACCTTAAAGTTGGCAGGTAAGGTCAAACGTTCGCTGATAGACAGTCAGATAGTTTTACTGGGTTCTGAATATCAGTATTTCATCTGAAGAAGTTTTGGTGTGTTTATCGTAATGAATTGTTAATTGACATAGTTTACAGGGTTAATAAATGGAAATGAATCAAATAAAATGAAAGTAACTTTATAGTGCAACATCATGATAATTATATTGAGGATAGTAATTTGAATAATTATGGATATGCTCTGATTATGCTCATTAGAATTGACTTTTCCATTCTATAACTGTGTGATATTAATTTACAGCCCTGTAAATGCTGTATCATTTCACCCTGAGGGTCAGCTGATTGTGACTGGAATGTGGGACTCAACCCTCAAAATCTGGGACGTCTTCCATAAAACCAGAAGAGCAGTATGTCTACTTATACTGTAGGATTTATTGAAAACAATTCAACATTTCTTTTATTTTGATAATAGAAAGGGTGTTAAAGAAGATGTTTTTTCAAAGAAGGAATTTTTTGTAATTTGGTATAAATTTTGAGACTATAACTGCAGAATTTCAAAAGTGCTATTCTTAGTGTAATGTACGCCAAGTCTGAAAATGTTAGACTCGACCCAAAAATTTATCTTAATTTTATCTAATAAAGTGATAATTTTATAACACCAACAAAATGAGATGGTGATGGAGAGAACATTAAGAATTCTTCAATTGCGAGGGAAAAGCAATGATTGTAATAATTTAAAATATGTACATATAAATTACTAGGTACTGAGAGGTCACAACTCCTCTGTCCGAGACGTGGCATACTCTCCCTGTGGTCGTTATATTGCCTCAGCCGCCTTAGATGGTGATGTCAAATTATGGGAGTCTCAGAAAGGAACACAGGTAAGGGGAGGGTAGTGTGATGTAGAACTGTATTGCTCTTACAATTACTTGTATTATTGTATATACAAAATAGTAGCAGAATTCTTGTGATTCAGACAGACTTGTCAAAACATTTATTACATATCTGCACATACAGTCCACAAAGAAATATAATTATTGTTACAGAGAAGATACATGTACCTTCCATTTTTGCAGAAAATAAATTTTTATTGGCAAATTTATAGTATTTAGTGTCAATAATTAACATAATTATGATTGCATGTACTATAATTCTGACATGTCGTGAGCATTAAATTGCAGAACACTTTTTATAAGTTCTAGCTATTGATAACATTATTATTTTAAAAAATGTTTTGCAGTTTAAAAGAGAGATTTCAATGAGAAAATAGGATGCTTTGTGTGCAATATACATCATCTTTGCAGCAATAATTTTACTTAACAGTTTTAGGATTTTTAGCTGTGTTTTCTACCTACAAAAACCTTTGCATGTTTTTTATCCAGCTATGTATGTTTTCTACCTAGCTGTATATGTATTTTACATCAGTGTAAAATTTTGATGTGTTCTTGGTTGTTTTACAGGTAGGAAATGTACGAGGTCATGCTTTGCCAATCAACAAGCTCACATTTTCTCCAACAGGAAAAAATCTGATCACAGTCAGTGATGATCACAAAATCAAGGTATGTTTAACTTGAACAATTTATGATTTGAATTGTAAACCTTAAAACACCGACCGAGGTTATGTTGATTACAAAATGAAGGCATAGTTTTGACTGTGTACAATACTTTGGTAATCATTTCAGTTATTTCATACACGTCATCTGTTGATATACAGTAAAACTTGGTTATGAGGAAGTCATTGGGGCCTCAGATTTTGCTTATTTCCAAATATCTTTATATCCATATAAAGGAATAGTGATAATTCTTACACAGGAGTCATTAAAAGATCTTTATATCTGAGTTTTTCAGATCAATGAATTTTTTATAGCTGAGTTTTACTTTACATGTATATAATGAATAATTTTTCAATGAACCAGTCATGTGGTCAACACATGTTATATTACCAAATTAAATTTTGATATTTTATGGTAATCTGCTTATATAATTAGGTATGGTCAGGACACATGGGAAAGCCCCTCCATTGTTTAGGGAAGGAGAATGAATTCCCTGTGAAGTCTGTGGCCCTCTCACCTGATGGGGAGACTCTAGCTGTAGGGTACCATGAGGGATTCATTCGATTCTACGACGTATCTACAGGTACCAGCGTTTTAAGTCCTGCCTTATCTATTATATTCCAGTCATATTGTTTAAATATTAAAGTGCTTGATTGATATGATAATGTTCTGATTTGTTTTCAGGGTCTCTCATGATCAGTTCCCACCCACACTCAGCAGCAGTACGCCGATTGTCCTTTAGTCCCTGTGGAACTTATCTGGTGTCGGCGTCCGCAGACTGCATAGCAACTGTAATATTATGGCAGCATTTATCTCTAATATCTAAAGCTCTTATTTGATATAATACTTCTTGATTTGAAAGTTATTGTTAGAATTTCCATTTTCAAATGATCAAATTGTTGCAATATCTGTGGATTCTTCCCAAAAGAAGCTGTCCATGCATTTTCAGGTGTTCAGTATGCCAAATGGGGTTGTGACTGCCACGATATCAGCTGGCAGTCCCCTCATGTGTGTGACAGTCTCCAAAAATTATATTGCTATTGGAACAGAGGACAACCAGTGCCTTTTGTATCCCAGTGTCAACAGTAGAACTAAGGGGTGAGTATCAAACAAGGGGACAGTGAGTGTCATAGGGGAGGATCAAAGAGTTTAATACAATAATGTAAACAAGAGGTACTAAGTATCACAGGGGAGGATCAAACAGTTTAGTACAGTAATGTAAACAAGGGGCACTAAGTATAAAAGGGGAGGATGAAACAGTTTAATACAATAATGTAAACAAGGGGCACAAAGTATCACAGGGGAGGATCAAACATTTTAATACAATAATGTAAATAAGGGGTACTGTGTATCACAGGGGTGATCAAACAGTTTAGTACAGTAATGTAAACAAGGGGCCAATGAGAATCACAGAGGAGGATCAAACAGTTTAGCACAGTAATGTAAACAAGGGGAAACTGAACATCACAGGGGAGGATCAAGCAGTTTAGAATGTGAACACTTCCATGATGGTAAACAAAGGAAGAACTGGTATAATGTAATTAGGAGATGTAACTTTCACCTGAATATTTATGTCATCAAACAATCTTATTAACATAATTTGGTCTTATTGGTTACCACTTCCACAAGGAGTAGTAACTGTTGTTTAGAAGGGAGGTTTAAATTTTTAGGGATAGAAACTTGTTGTCAAATGTTAAATGTTAGTGATGCTGATTTTGTAATAGATATTGTAATATAAATAAATGTAATGTCAATGCATGAAACATGCAACATATAATATTTGCTATACTATTTGTAAAATCATACTACACTGATATTTGTAGTGGACAGTTAAAAGTGATGCTGACCCTACGAGGTCAGACTGGGCCAATCACAAGCTGTACTTTCAATGCAGATGTCTCCAAACTGGCTACTGCTAGCAGAGATGCTGTGAGTTTGCTACATTAATTATTAAACATCAATTTACTAAATTCCTTCCTGTGGAAGTGAAAATTTAAGGATGATTTATTGTTTTGTACAGTATATTTAATCCATGCAATCTGAAAAAATAAGTTTACAAATAATTTTACAAGTAGAGATGAGGTACCTATTTTTTCTGGTTCTCTTATTTACATTTTAGTGTTATACTGTAAGTTTTTTTTTTTTTACCTACAGTCAGTGTATATTTGGGATGTACGAGGCTGTCTTCTTGACCCCACTAACCCTGCTCCTGTCCAGAAACTTCATGCCTGTCATTCTGACTGGATCACAGATTGTCAGTGGTCAAACATCGGAAATTTCCTTGTATGTAACCCAGTGTTTTAAATAATAGACCCTAAATATTATCTCAGCTATGATATAGCTGTGTGTGGTTGCAATTAACTTCCATATCCCAAATACAAGATATGGAAATCAAATATTTTATACAGCATTCCATGCTAAACTACCTTTTGCTGATTTTTGTGAAAATGGGTTAATAAAAATGAGTGAGCTTTGTAATTATTCAACACCTTAGTTTTCCTGAGTCTTGTAATGCTCTTTTTGTAGCAATTGGGTTGTTGAGTTTTACTGGTTGCATTGCACCCTACCCCCTAAAAATGAAATAATATTAACAGTTTTATTGGAAGCAATTTTCTGATGAACATGTCCTAAACCATTCATTTTTTTTTTTTTTTTGCCTTTTTAACAACTTTTTTTCTCTCCAGGTGACAGGGTCTGTAGATTTCAATCTTAAAGTTTGGGATGTGAAGACTGGGGAAGAAAAATTCAAGCTGACAGGTCACATGGCCTCCATCACCTCTGTTAGATTCAGCGTAAGTCATAAAACTAACCAATCATCACCTCCATTAGATTCAGCATAAGTCATTAAACTAACCAATCATCACCTCTGTTAGATTCAGCGTAAGTCATTAAACTAATCAATCATCACCTCTGTTAGAGTCACTGTAAGTCATTAAACTAACCAATCATCACCTCTGTCAGATTCAGCACAAGTCATAAAACTAACCAATCATCACCTCCATTAGATTCAGCGTAAGTCATTAAACTAACCAATCATCACCTCTGTTAGATTCAGCGTAAGTCATTAAACTAATCAATCATCACCTCTGTTAGATTCAGCGTAAGTCATTAAACTAACCAATCATCACCTCTGTTAGATTCAGCGTAAGTCATTAAACTAATCAATCATCACCTCTGTTAGATTCAGCGTAAGTCATTAAACTAACCAATCATCACCTCTGTCAGATTCAGCGTAAGTCATTAAACTAACCAATCATCGCCTCTGTTAGATTCAGCATAAGTCATTAAACTAATCAATCATCACCTCAGTTAGAGTCACTGTAAGTCATTAAACTAACCAATCATCACCTCTGTTAGATTCAGCATAAGTCATAAAACTAACCAATCATCACCTCTGTTAGATTCAGCATAAGTCATTAAACTAACCAACCATCACCTTTGTTAGTATTAGCGTAAGTCATTAAACTAACCAATCATCACCTCTTTAAGATTCAGCGTAAAGTCATAAAACTAACCAATCATCACCTCTGTCAGATTCAGCGTAAGTCATTAAACTAAACAATCATCACCTCTGTTAGATTCAGCGTAACTCACAAGACTAACTAATCATCACCTCTGTTAGATTCAGAGTAAGTCATAAAACTAACCAAATGAATCATCACCTCTGTTAGATTCAGCGTAAGTCATAAAACTAACCTATCATCACCTCTGTCAGATTCAGCGTAAGTCATAAAACTAACCAATCATCACCTCTGTCAGATTCAGCGTAAGTCATTAAGCTAACCAATCATCACCTCTGTCAGATTCAGTGTAAGTCATAAAACTAACCAATCATCACCTCTGTCAGATTCAGCGTAAGTCATTAAGCTAACCAATCATCACCTCTGTCAGATTCAGTGTAAGTCATTGAATAACCAATCATCACCTCTGTTAGAGTCAGCGTAAGTCATTAAACTAACCAATCATCACCTCTGTCAGATTCAGAGTAAGTCATAAAACTAACCTATCATCACCTGTCATCAGTCTGTTAGATTCAGTGTAAGTCTTTAAATAGACGATCATCATCTCAGAAGTTCATGACCTGGTTATAACTGACTGTATAGTGTGTCATTCCTTAGAGCTGTATAGTGGGTCATTCCTTAGAGCTGTATAGTGTGTCATTCCTTAGAGCTATATAGTGTGTCATTCCTTAGAGCTGTATAATGGGCCATTCCTTAGAGCTGTATAGTGTGTCATTCCTTAGAGCTGTATGTGTCATTCCTTAGAGCTGTATAGTGTGTCATTCCTTAGAGCTATATAGTGTGTCATTCCGTATAGCTGTATAATGGGCCATTCCTTAGAGCTGTATAGTGTGTCATTCCTTAGAGCTGTATTGTGTGTCATTCCTTAGAGCTGTATTGTGTGTCATTCCTTAGAGCTGTATCAGTATAGAGTGTAATTCCTTATAGCTGTATAGTGTGTCATTCCTTATAGCTGTATAGTGTGTCATTCTTTAGAGCTGTATAGTGTGTCATTCCTTAGAGCTGTAATGTGTGTCATTCCTTAGAGCTGTATAATGTGTCATTCCTTAGAGCTGTATAGTGTGTCATTCCTTAGAGCTGTATGTGTCATTCCTTAGAGCTGTAGAGTGGGTCATTCCTTAGAGCTGTATTGTGTGTCATTCCTTAGAGCTGTATAGTGTGTCATTCCTTAGAGCTGTATAGTGTGTCATTCCTTAGAGCTGTATAGTGTGTATTCCTTAGAGCTGTATAGTGTGTCATTCCTTAGAGCTGTATTGTGTGTCATTCCTTAGAGCTGTATAGTGTGTTTTCCTTAGAGCTGTATAGTGTGTCATTCCTTAGAGCTGTATAGTGTGTCATTCCTTAGAGCTGTATAGTGTGTCATTCCTTAGAGCTGTATAGTGTGTATTCCTTAGAGCTGTATAGTGTGTCATTCCTTAGAGCTGTATAGTGTGTATTCCTTAGAGCTGTATAGTGTGTCATTCCTTAGAGCTGTATAGTGTGTCATTCCTTAGAGCTGTATGTGTCATTCCTTAGAGCTGTATAGTGTGTCATTCCTTAGAGCTATATAGTGTGTCATTCCGTATAGCTGTATAATGGGCCATTCCTTAGAGCTGTATAGTGTGTCATTCCTTGGAGCTGTATTGTGTGTCATTCCTTAGAGCTGTATAGTGTGTCATTCCTTAGAGCTGTATTGTGTGTCATTCCTTAGAGCTGTATTGTGTGTCATTCCTTAGAGCTGTATCAGTATAGAGTGTAATTCCTTATAGCTGTATAGTGTGTCATTCCTTATAGCTGTATAGTGTGTCATTCTTTAGAGCTGTATAGTGTGTCATTCCTTAGAGCTGTATAGTGTGTCATTCCTTAGAGCTGTATAATGTGTCATTCCTTAGAGCTGTAGAGTGTGTCATTCCTTAGAGCTGTATGTGTCATTCCTTAGAGCTGTAGAGTGTGTCATTCCTTAGAGCTGTATTGTGTGTCATTCCTTAGAGCTGTATAGTGTGTCATTCCTTAGAGCTGTATAGTGTGTCATTCCTTAGAGCTGTATAGTGTGTATTCCTTAGAGCTGTATAGTGTGTCATTCCTTAAAGCTGTATAGTGTGTCATTCCTTAGAGCTGTATAGTGTGCCTTAGAGCTGTATAGTGTGTCATTCCTTAGAGCTGTATAGTGTGTATTCCTTAGAGCTGTATAGTGTGTCATTCCTTAGAGCTGTATAGTGTGTCATTCCTTAGAGCTGTATGTGTCATTCCTTAGAGCTGTATAGTGTGTCATTCTTTAAAGCTGTATAGTGTGTCATTCTTTAGAGCTGTATAGTGTGTCATTCTTTAGAGCTGTATAGTGTTTCATTCCTTAGAGCTGTATAGTGTGCCTTAGAACTGTATAGTGTGTCATTCCTTAGAGCTGTATAGTGTGTCATTCCTTAAAGCTGTATAGTGTGTCATTCCTTAGAGCTGTATAGTGTGTCATTCCTTAGAGCTGTATGTGTCATTCCTTAGAGCTGTATAGTGTGTCATTCCTTAAAGCTGTATAGTGTGTCATTCCTTAGAGCTGTAGAGTGTGTCATTCCTTAGAGCTGTAATGTGTGTCATTCCTTAGAGCTGTATAGTGTGTCATTCCTTAGAGCTGTAGAGTGTGTCATTCCTTAGAGCTGTATAGTGTGTATTCCTTAGAGCTATATAGTGTGTCATTCCTTAGAGCTGTATAGTGTGTCATTCCTTAGAGCTGTATAGTGTGCCTTAGAGCTGTATAGTGTGTCATTCCTTAGAGCTGTATAGTGTGTCATTCCTTAGAGCTGTATAGTGTGTCATTCCTTAAAGCTGTATAGTGTGTCATTCCTTAGAGCTGTATAGTGTGTCATTCCTTAGAGCTGTATGTGTCATTCCTTAGAGCTGTATAGTGTGTCATTCCTTAAAGCTGTATAGTGTGTCATTCCTTAGAGCTGTAGAGTGGGTCATTCCTTAGAGCTGTAATGTGTGTCATTCCTTAGAGCTGTATAGTGTGTCATTCCTTAGAGCTGTATAGTGTGTCATTCCTTAGAGCTGTATAGTGTGTATTCCTTAGAGCTATATAGTGTGTCATTCCTTAGAGCTGTATAGTGTGTCATTCCTTAGAGCTGTATAGTGTGTCATTCCTTAGAGCTGTATAGTGTGTCATTCCTTAAAGCTGTATAGTGTGTCATTCCTTAGAGCTGTATTGTGTGTCATTCCTTAGAGCTGTATGTGTCATTCCTTAGAGCTGTATAGTGTGTCATTCTTTTATCGCTGTGTAACTTGACATTCTCTCTGTTGTAGTATGGTTGCATTGTCTCAGCCTGCAGTGATGGTTCAGTCAAGGTGTGGTCCCAGAAAGGTACAGAAATCACCACGCTACACGGACACACCCAGTGTGCTAACGACTGTGCCCTCGTGGTTAAGGTGTCGGAATCCTCAGAAGTGGACGAGGGTCAGTGAGCAGTTTTTTATTGCAATTAAATGCATAGATATTAAAGATTGATTGTCAATATTTTAATCATTTGATGTGATGTTTTAAGATGTGAAGAAATTTCAATTTTTTTATTAATTTTCAAAGGAAGCCTTTTAAATCTATATTCCCTATCATTTGCATAAGAATATGTGTTTTAACATATGTGTTGTGTGATATTAAGTATAAGTGATCTGTACAGTAATTGACATGTATTTATGACAAAGCCTTTTTCATTCATTCATGTCTTTGGGCATTCATAACATTAGCAATTTTTACTAGTTTATGGAGAACATGGTATAGCAATTACATTTATACCATAAAAAGGTGGTCCTTAGCATAAGGTTGTTGTATTCTGACCTTCTTAGAATAAAATAATTTATAATTAGACATGAATTGGGACAATATTAATTCCAAATGTGTTCATACCTATAGCATGAAGTTAAGCATGTCACAGTTATGTCCTGTCATATTTTAGTATGGTGTTCTCCCATTCTCTTTAAACATATAGTTAAAAGTAAAGTATATTATTAATGACAGAGTTTTTCTGTTTCTACCTGTATTATGATAGTCTTCAGTGACCAGATGATTCCATTGTAGAGGAGGAAGTAGTCAGCGATTGGTCAGCCGAACCAAAAGAAACCAAGCCAAGCAAGAAGAAACCAAAAATAGACATGGAGGATGTACTTGTGGCCAGCTGTTCAGATGATGGTACAGTCAGACTCTGGAATCCACTACAGGTCTGCATTACAGTCTTATTTTCATTACTGTACAAGAAGAAGGAATGTAAATGTTACAGAAACAGGTTTTACCTCCACTTGGGATTGAATCTGTGACCTCTAACATGCCAATCCAGTGCTGTACCCATTGAGCTAAAGGGTTAACCTTCTAGCCCAAGATTGTAGGATGCTGTTTATCTTACATTACCACATATAAACAAGTCTGATAGAATGGTTTACAGTGAAACATGCTTATAGCGAATTGACGCTTACAGTGAATTGATTTTCATTCCCTGTGTCTTGAAAATATGTTATAAACTTAACAGACATAACGAAATTACACTTATAATGAAGCAAAATCGTACGTCCCTGGCACTTCGTTATAAGCGTGTTTTACTGTATACTGATCTTTCATTATTTAGCCACTTACTGTTTAGTCTGTTTTATGGATTAAGTTTAAAACTTGACCGTTCCTGCTGTAGGCAAATGAGTTGGCTAACTTGACTGGACATGATGACCGAATCTTAAGTGTTGCCTCAGATTCCCATGGTAACCTGTGTACGAGTTCACTGGATAAATCAGTCAGACTGTGGAAACCTACTCTCAGTTCTGAGACAGTGTCCAGTTGTCATGACGCCCCGGTGACCTTCACCTCTGTCTCTGGTAACAGTCTACTAACAGGAAGCAGGTCAGCAGGATTTTTTTCTGTCACATGATTTACTATTTGCCTTTGAAAGTAATTTGCATAAAAAAAATTGAAAGTAACACTTGTATAATGATGAAAGTAATTTATTTTTTAAAAAAGTATGGTATTTCATTGAAAGTAACTTTTAAAAGTATTTTTAAAAAGGTATTTCATTGAAAGTACCATAATTTATTTCTCAAAAAATGATAATAATCACACTCCCAGGCCAAAAAGAAAGATAAATCTCCTGTAACATAAAACAGTTCAAATTTGAAAGATTCCATGTCATCTGAAATATTTTATTAGACCCTGAATAACTATTAAGTTTATATACAGTAGCATTTTTAGCTCACCTGAACTGAAAGCTCAAGTGAGCTTTTCTGGTTATCTGGTGTCTGGCATCTGTCTGTCTGTCCATCTGTCTGTAAACTTTTCACATTTTCAACTTCTTCTCAAGAACCACTTGGCCAATTTAACCAAAATTGGCACAAAGCATTCTTGAGTGAAAGGGATTCAAAATTGTTCAAATAAATGGCCAAGTCCTATTCCAAGGGGAGATAATCAAGAAAAAGGCAAAAATAGGGTGGGGACATTAAAAATTCTTCTTCTCAAGAACCACTAGACCAAAAGAGATGAAACTTATGTTGAAGCTTCCTAAGGTAGTGTAGATTCATTGTTCAGATCATGGTCCCCAGGTGGTAGGATGGGGCCATAATAGGGGATCATAGTTTTACATTGAAAAACATAGGAAAATTTCTTTAAAATCCTTCTTCTCCAAATTCACTAGGCCAGAAGAGATGAAACTTATGTGGAAGCTTCCTGAGGTAGTGAAGATTCTATGTATTTCAAATCATGCCCCTCAGGGAGTAGGGTAGGGCCCCAATAAAGGATCATAGTATTACATTGAAATACATAGGAAAAATTCTTTTAAAATCTTCTTTTCATGAGCCAATGGGCCAGAAGAGATGAAACTTACGTGGAAGCTTCCTGAGGTGTTGTAGATTTTTAATTGTAGAAATCATGGCCTTCCAGATTGGGCCACAATAGGGGGTCAAAGCTTTACAATATAATATATATAGGAAAAATCCTTTAAAAATGTTCAAAGTTTTACATAAGACTTAATAGGAAATAAATTTTGAAAATCTCAAGAACCACAATCGTGCAACACATATGCAAACATTCCCAAGTTGAGTGGCTTCATTTTTTTTAGGTCACCTGAGTCACTCAGGTGACCTATTGCTATCCGTTCTCGTCTGTCGGCATGCGTCGTGCGTTAACATTTGAACATTTTTAGCTTCTTCTCTGAAACCACTTAACCAATTTCAACCAAATTTGGCATACATCATCTATGGGTGAAGGGGAACAAAAATTGTGAATTTCATGGTCCCTGGCCCCCTGGGGCCTGAGGGATGGGGCTAAAACCACCAAAAATAATGCAATCTTTAAAAATCTTCTTCTTTACTCCTGGACATCAAGCAGTCAAACTGTTGGCATCATTGTAATACGCATTGAGCCCTCTACCAAAATTGTGAAATTCATGGCCCCAGCTGGGGCTATATAGATCATATAGTGAAATTGCATTATTTCTTTGAAAATCTTCTTCTCTGCTCCTGGGTATTAAATAAAGTAACTAAGTACATAGTTATGATGAGCAAGAGTGCCTCTTCCAAAATTGTGAAATTCATGGCCCCAGGGTCAGGGGTTCTGGTGTTAGGGCGAGGCTCTATTGATTATATAGTGAAAATGCATTAATTCTTTGAAATTATTCTTCTCTGCTCCTGGGTATTAAATTAAGTAACTAAGTCCATAGTTATGATGAGCAAGAGAGCCTCTTCCAAAATTGTGAAATTCATGGCCCCAGGGTCAGGGGTTCTGGTGTAAGGGCTAGGCTCTATTGATTATATAGTGAAAATGCATTAATTCTTTGAAAATCTTCTTCTCTGCTCCTGAGTATTAAATAAAGTAACTTAGTACATATTTTATGAAGAGCAAGAGAGCCTCTTCCAAAATTGTGAAATTCATGGCCCCAGGGTCAGGGGTTCTGGTGTTTGGGTGGGGCTCTATTGATTATATAGTGAAAATGCATTAATTCTTTGAAAATCTTCTCCTCTGCTCCTGGGCATTAAGGTGATAAACTAAGTACATAGTTATGAGGAGGAGGTGGGCCTCTTCCAGAATTGTTAAAGCCATGGCCCCTAGGTCAGGGGTTCTGGTGTTAGGGCGGGGCTCTATTGATTATATAGTGAAAATGCATTAATTCTTTGAAATTATTCTTCTCTGCTCCTGGGTATAATTTAAACAAACTAAGTTTATGGTTATAATGCATAAGAATGTCTTTTCAAAAATTCTGAATTTCATGGCCCCAGGGTCAGGGGTTCTGGTGCTAGGGCGGGGCTCTATTGATTATATAGTGAAAATGCATTAATTCTTTGAAAATCTTCTTCTCTGCTCCTGGTATTAAATTAAGTAACTAAGTGCATAGTTATGATGAGCAAGAGTGCCTCTTCCAAAATTGTGAAATTCATGGCCCCAGGGTCAGGGGTTCTGGTGTAAGGGCGGGGCTCTATTGATTATATAGTGAAAATGCATTAATTCTTTGAAAATCTTCTTCTCTGCTCCTGGGTATTAAATAAATAACTAAGTCCATAGTTATGATGAGCAAGAGAGCCTCTTCCAAAATTGTGAAATTCATGGCCCCAGGGTCAGGGGTTCTGGTGCTAGGGCGGGGCTCTATTGATTATATAGTGAAAATGCATTAATTCTTTGAAAATCTTCTTCTCTGCTCCTGGGTATTATTTAAACAAACTAAGTGTATGGTTATGATGCATAAGGATGCCTTTTCAAAAATTCTGAATTTCATGGCCCCAGGGTCAGGGGTTCTGGTGCTAGGGCGGGGCTCTATTGATTATATAGTGAAAATGCAGTGATTCTTTGAAAATCTTCTTTGCTACTGGAGATTATTTAAACAAACTAAGTACATGGTTATGATGCATGAGGATGCCTTTTCAAAAATTGTGAAATTCATGGCCCCAGGGTCAGGGGTTCTGGTGTAAGGGCAGGGCTCTATTAAATATATATAGAAAATGCATTGAATCTTTGAACATCTTCTTCTATGCTACTGGAGATTATTTAAACAAACTAAGTGCATGATTATGATAGGCAAGGATGCCTCTTCCAAAATTTTTAAATATATGGCCTCAGTTTTTGGGGTTCTTGAGGAGGGGGGGCTCTATTGATTATATAGTGAAAAAGCATTAATTATATTAATTAATCATTAATTAATCCTGTCTGCTCCTTAGTGTTGAGCTGATAAATAAAATGCTTAGCTATGATGAAAATGGGAGTTTCGAACAGAATTTTTAAATCTTGTGGTCCCAGGGTCAGGGGTTCTGGCATAACAAGGGGGGGGGGGGGGTCTTTTGATAATATAGTGGAAAAGTGTTAATTCTTTGAAGTCCATAGTTATGATGATGAGGGTAACTCTTCCAAATCTAAATTTCTTGACCCTTGGTTTTGGGTTCTGGTGTTAGGGTAAGGCTTTGTTGAATCTGTAGTGAAAATGCATTGTTCCTGTGAAATTCTTCTCTGCTTCTGGGCATATCGGAAGCAAATTGAGTAAAAGTTTAAATGATATAAGTAAGCGTATTTCTACCAGATTTTTGAACATCTGGACCATTTGTCTAAGCATTCTGGTCCTGGACAGGGCTCTATTAATTTGTATTCTACTGAGAGAAGTAATTCCCCTTTTCCATTCACCTTTGATAATTAATCACTGTAAATAATGTATTTGAAAGGTTAATAGAATAAGATAATTATGCAAGAATGTTTATCGTATAATTCAAAAAGTACTTTCTTAGTTTTAATAATCAGGTAGAGCTGTAAGTAATAGATAAATAAAAATGAGACAAAAATAACTTACCTTATTAGAAGTTCTTCAAAGACCATTAGAGAGATCAATGCTAGAGGTCTTTATATGGGTTTAAAAATAGTACAGAAGCACTAATAGTTTGTTAATAGTCTGCATGGTGATAGTGTTAAGTGGGGGGACAGATTAGAACTTAATTTGTGAGTTGATACTGAATACTAGACTAATTATTTTGTTGATCCTGATCTTCCTACTTCTCTTGCTTTAGGGCAACAAAGCTTCATCTATCAGTGTATTTAACTTGTAAATTGTTGTATTATACTCAGGTGACCGTTAAGGCCCTTGGGCCTCTTGTCTTCAAATTATGCCCCATGGGTTAGAGTTAGCTGAAAATAGGGTTCAAATTTTACATAATGCATGTAAACGGGAAAAGAATTTTCTTAATAACTGCAAGGCCAGGTTAATCATAATGATATTGAAGCATCCCCATGTTGTTTGGATTTAGAGACCCTTAGATTGGGGCTATAATATGGGATCAGAATTTTTCATTGGAATGTAAATTTTTATTTTTGGAAATCTGAAAGAACAGCAGGGCTAAAGTTACTCAGGTAAGCAATGTGGCCCATGGGCCTTGCTTGTGAAATGTTGTAGCAATAAAAGCCTATAGTATATTTTTAAAAAGTGTTGTGATTACAGGGATGGTTATGTTAAGTTGTGGAGCATTTACTCGGAGACTGGGGACACTCAACTTGTACAGTCACTGAAGGTAAGAAAAATTAGTACTGATATTATACAAGTACCAATGGGAGCTGCCTGTATTAATACAAGGAAATGATTCTTGTTAAAATTTAATCTGCATTTAAACTACACTTTAAATTGTTTATCAAAAATTAATCAAATGATCTGACATGAAACAACTTTTTTTAAGTTGCACATCTTACACAAAGCAATCTGCAAGTTTAATTTATTTCTCTTATACATGTATATCTTACATGTAGATGAAGGTAGAATTTTTTAAGTTTGTAGAATAAAAATGGTACATGTTGAATCCATCCTTGTAACACTAATCACATTACATTACAGGTTCATACTAAGTCAGTAAATACAGGCTGTTTTGTGGGGTATGATGATAAAAAGTTTGTAACAGGAGGGGATGATGAAATGGTATACGAGTGGAAACATCAGGGAACCAAAAAGGGAGCAGCCACATTGTAAGTCATTGTCAGTGTAGTCACAGAACAATAGTAAAAATCTCTCATAGTACTCTAATTACTACACTATAGTTTTGTGTCTGATTAGAATATTCCTATTTTCTCCATGGTGGATGCTCTTTTCTCAGAAATGTAGATTTAATACAACAATTTAAACAGTTTATCTGTCAATATGACATTTAGTGACACAAGCTTGGTAATAATAAATATGAATTTTTCTCTAAGGATAGAGTTTGTTATATTATTGAGAAACATATCAGAAGTAAAATATATAGTGGCTTTTGTCCCAGTGAGAGAGTTCTGGAAAAGTTGCTATATGACATTGAGGGGTATTGCAATTTGTGTGTATATAAATCCCATGCAAACTGTGGTTTTAATTTTTAAGAATAAAGAAGGTCAACAGTTACAAGATGAAATCTCCAGTGATGTGTGTCGTGTGGCACAACACGGCCAAGGCTAGCAGTGGTCATGTGGTGGTCTGTGCAGAATGGGAGAGAGCCAGAGTGACCATCATCAACACTGACCAGACAACACCACTGAAATCCATATATCTCGGGTAAGAAAACTCTACTTGCTCAGTGAATTATTTTCTGTAATCTTTATTCATCTGAGAATGTTTTCCATCTGGAGAGATATATTTCTTGTGGTGTATCGTTACTTTACATTTAGGTCTGTTGACGATGGAAGTTGGATAATGAACATGATGTTCCAAGGCCAGGAATTGATAGCCATGATGTCAGACTCTATGGTGCAGGTTCTACAATTAACTGGCTCACTTGCACCCAGGGTAAGAATGTTTCTTTGTCATGTTCTCCATAGTTTAAAACGTTCAAAATCAAAGATTATAATGTAGATAGTCTGTGCACATTTTTCAGCAATAGTTTTTGTTTCATATGACCTTCAGGCTTCAGGTCAAAAGTGGCTGCTGTTAGGAGCATTTGTGTACACTGACTGATTTTGTCACCATTATTTTGTTTAACAAGAACTCTAATGATGCTTTCTTCAAATTCATAACAATACTTTTTTGAAACAGGTACCGGTAGATGGTTATTTTTCTGAAGGAAAATAAAAACTCATTAGAATAGAAAAGAAAAAAAAGAAAAGTGAGGTCAAGGTCAAAGGAAAGGTCAAAAAATGTTGATGCAGTTGCATAGCTCTCATCAATGACTATCAGCATATGAAGTTTGATAAAAAATATTTTGGATAGTTTCTTTGAAACTGAGCTTTGAACAGAGCTAAACGCAAAGTGCGACAGAAAGACAGACAGAAGAATGGAAGGACGGAAGATGGACATGACAAACACTATATGCCCTGGCCATATTCATGGCGGGGCATAAAAATATCAGTGTCATTTGATTTTTTGTGTTTATTAGGGAGTTTGTGGATTGAGTGTCACTAAGAAAACTGATGTTAAATGTGTGGCCGACATAAAGCAGGGAGTACCAGAACATAAGCGTGGACTGAACATGGTTCTGTGTGGTGCAGTCCTCGGTAAAGAAATAAAATTGTCAGGCATCACAGAAAAGCCTCGCCTACTCGGAGATTGTAAGGGCCAGCTGACCATTCTGTTCCAGGATTCTAAGCCTGAATCATTGAAGGTTAGTTATATCAACCACAGTACTAGTTCTGAATCATATCAACAGAATGAAAATAACAGGGCATGGTAATTTAACTTTGAAAAGGAAAGAAACATGACCAAACGATTAGGGGTAGATGTCTGTGACAAGCTGTAAATGTAGGCGTAGATATTTAATCAAACATACAAACATAAATATATAGAGGATATTCAATGTTTTGTAGATGAATATGAGATTTATTTCATGAGTGGGACAGGATTTTTTGATATTTTCACGAGTGCGAAGCACGAGTGAAAATATAAAAAAAATCCTGTCCCACTCGTGAAATAAATTCCATATTCATCTACAAAACAATGAATTTTCTGTTATTACATTTTCTTTGATTTTTCCTTTTGACTCTGACTATAGTTAAATAACATGGTGTCAGGCTGTGACGTCATAATTGATCGGTTAAGACGTCAGGGCTAAGTGATTGCGAGATTGAAAAACGTCGTAAACATGGATTTTTAAGAACATATTTGGAGAAACTTTGGCAGTGTAAGTCTCTGTCAGGATGGTTCAATTACTCTCTCTATCCTACATGTATTACAGGCTAAGGAGTTTTTTCTTCTTTTTTTTTTTAAAAACACTCTTCGTAATGGAAAGGAAACTCGAGAGTTTAGCCGCATTTCTGATATTCTCACACTGTGAGAATACCACTTTGATATCCTTTCTCACTATGTCAGAAAATCACTTTTATTCAATAAATAAATTACAGTATTTCACTGTTGAAAATGTAATAAATAGAGTAATAATATAAAGCTTTAAAAGTATTGATGCTTTATAGATACATGAAAGGGATGTGACCTGTGTCAAAGTTGTGGATGGCTTAGTGTTAACATCATCCTTAGACCGATCAGTGAAAGCCTGGAAGATAGACTACACCAGATCTTACACAAAGCCGCAACAGGTGTTGACTGAAGGATTGGAACAGGTAAGCAAGATCCTAGGGGGTGGATCCTACTTAATTAAAGGTGGTTTATACATGATATATATATGTAATGCAGAATGTAGCATTTGTTTTCATACACTGAGAACTCTTTTAGATTTGAGCCCATTTAAGGATGACATCTAAATGGACACAAATATATAATGCATGTACATGTGATAAAACAGAAATTTGATTTCTTTTTTTTCACCCTTTCATAGATGGGTCTGTTTCTGTGTCCAGCACCAGTGACCAGCATGGAGATTGTGGAAAGTTCCAATCATAAGGAGCTTTTTTGTGGAGATGAGCTAGGAAATATCCACCTCTTTGTGGTAAAGTGTCAGGGATTGTGGTAGTGTATCAAGGAATTGTGGTAGAGTATCAGGGATTGTGGTAGAGTATCAGGGATTGTTGTAGAGTATCAGGGATTGTGGTAGAGTATCAGGGAGTTTAACAGGTGAAAGGTTGTGAAGTTCCAGGGACTTGGTTAAGCTACTCAAACAACTACAAAACACTGTAGCAATTTATAGCAATGCCTATTTTATGACAAAGTCTTAAAATTTGTGGACAGAAACTTTTTTAACAAAACATATATGAGTCCTTTGTCAAACCTTCATTAATCACACATATTTCTTAATTATGTATTGAGATATGAAAATTTCTAATCTTAATGGAGATAAAATTGTATGTGTCATGAATTCATTTTAACATCAATTATCTACATGTCTTTTTTTTAATTGTAAATAGCATTTTTTTATTTAATATGCATAATTACATAATGTACATCTCAAAAAATATTCCATGCACATTCATATAATTACATTTTATTTCATTTAATTATAGTTATATTGAGAAAAAAAAAATATTCATAACATGAATTTATACAGTTGTTTGAATTGTTTATAATTATATCTTAGACAAATAAACATTTTGTTTATTAAACAAATTGTGATTTCATGTAATAGTATACGTGGTATTTATAAACCATGACAATAATTAACTCTTGAGTTTATGTAACAGACAGTCACACTGACAAGGTTATTACATTGTCCTTATAGATCTCACTTGTACATCATCTGTATTTTATGTTATAAATTGTTAATCATTCATTAATATGAATTGTCATCCTTGTTTAAAGAAGAGGGAGCATACAGCAATGCAATTAAAGGTTTAAAAAGAAAAAAAATATTTTAAAAAAAAGTGCATTTATTGTGTTGCATAATGAGGCTCTTAGAGAGGTATGGTATGCAGTGCTCTTGATTTTGTGTTTAAAAAAAATATGCATGTACATGTATGTATGTAATGTGGAAAAATGTTGTTTTTCCTTTATATAATTTATTTGTTCCCAGATTTGGTACCTCATTAACAAATTATCAATGACTGTGTTAATTAGATCTTAATTGTAAGATAAAAGATATTTCAGGTTCTGATTTAAATTGTGATATTGTGATGTTTATGTTCTTTTCTATAAATTGTAATGTTATTTTGTATTGGCCTGTGATACTGAACAAAGTGGAAATTTAATGATGAGTAATTAAAGGCAGTCAGGTTAAAACATGAAAGAGAAACAAATTTACAGAAGTATGAGTATATAATATTTTGAATGAATTCAAGGTATTGTCTAACTGGAGAATTACTATATGGATTGTTAATTGATTTTTGAAGTGAAAATATTTAATATTAATTTTTTAGAGAATTATAGCTAAATGTGTTTGGTCATACATGTAACATCTTGTGTGTTCAAAATCTCATTGGCACCTAGGACATGGGGGTAAATTTAAAAAGGATTAAAAAGTTGATGGTTATTAAGGTATGTAAAGGGGTTTGGTTTTATATTTAGTGTGCTATTGTATCTCAGTTGTTACCACTACTTTAATTTAAAACTTCCTTTGAAACTCTGGGGGGAAAGGGGAAGGGGGGTGGGGGTCAGAATTATCTTTTCAACTCATAAGCAAGTGTGTTAATTTGAAAGTTCTAAATCCTGAAGAGTCACTGTGACTCCAGTTTCTTCAATGAGGGATGAATAGGATATTTCTGGTGTCTTTACAATTGTGTATTTAATAGAGGGTCAAAATGATCGTTTTACTGACTTGGAAATATGAAGTTCAAAATTTTTAAATATGTCAATAATTTAAAACACTCAATCATCATAAACAGTCCCTTTGACTACAATATCTTCAAGGGTGGGGGTGGGTTTAGAAAACAGCTAGAGTAACTGATATTTTTGAACTTTGGTTAGATGTCTTGAAACTCTTTTATATTAAATTGATATATTAATTATTATAAGGGTAATTCATCTTTAAGGCTGTATGAAAGAAATATTTGTGATAGTAAAAGATTTTATTTTAACACTTGAAGAAAGTTGTGTGGACTAGCAGTCTTCCATACAGGAAGCAAAAGTTGTACACATTTCCTTCTTGATATTGTTTTTGTTTATATTAAAATACTGAAGAAGAAAGTAAAAGTCTTCCTTATCCTTTAATAGTATTTCATTGATGGAGATTTAACCAATCTGGTTCATGTAAATAACCAAGTCGACAGAAGTATACAAGTAACACTGTACAGTGAGATTTTTTGGAAGGGTGCTAAGTTTGGTTTATTTTAGCAATATGGAAGTAGAAAGGTAAAATTTTAATCACTAAATTTTGCACCCTTACATACAAGTTTAGAGTGCAAGAAATATTACTTTGATCAGTCTTGTTAAACACTATATCTCTATTTTGGTTTCACCTCAAATCTTGAATAAATTGAGATTCAGTTGAACAAACTACCCCCCCCCCCCCAAAAAAAAAAAACTTCCAGAAGATGAACTTCCTCTGTCTCTCTCTCTGCAACCTCATTGGGCTCTGTGCCCGCCCAAAAAAATTTTTGCCAAAATTATTGGCATACCCTTAACCAATCAAAGTGCCAAATTTTACACCCGCTAAAGAAATATGCTATGTTAGCTGCAGAACCATATCTTAGCTGCAGAACTGTATCTAAGCTGTAGAACCATATCTTAGCTACAGAACTGTATTTTAGCTGTAGAGCCATACTTTAGATAAAGAACTGTATCTTAGCTGCAGAACTGTATCTTAACTTGGAATTGTGTCTTAGCTGCAGAACTGTACCTTAGCTGCAGAACTGTATCTTATTTACATAATTGTATCTTAGCTACAGAACCGTATCTTAGCTGCAAAACTGTGTCCTAGCTACTAAACCACATTTTAGCTGCAGAACTGTATCTTAGCTGTAGAACCGTATTTTAATAGTAGAACAGTATCTTTGCTGCACAACCATACCTTAGCTGCAGAACTGTATCTTAGCTACTTAATTGTATCTTAGCTACAGAACTGTATCTTAGCTGAAGAACTGTATCTTAGCTACATATCTTAGCTACAGAACTGTATCTTAGCTACAGAACCATATCTTAGCTGCAGATCTGTATCTAAGTTACAGAATTGTATCTTTGCTACATAACCATATTTTAGCTACAAAAGTGTATCTTAGCTTAGAACCATATCTTAGCTACAGAACTGTATCTTAGCAACATATCTTAGCTACAGAACCATATCTTAGCTACAGAACTGTATCTTAGCTACATCCCTAACAAAAAAGTACTATACTTCACTATAGTTTACTATAGTATCAAAGTTTTTTCACAATAGTAAATCAAAGTATTTTTACCATGGATTTCAGATCGTTATATTTTTTGTTCTTCAATTCATACATGCACATTTTTTATATTAAATTGATGTATTATTTGTATATTCACACATTAATTCCAAATTTTACATTACTGTTATCGAGTTTTAGAGATTTTTAGCTATGAAATCTCAAAAAAAGTTCAAGAGTAAAGTTTCATAGTAAATCAAAGTTTTCACTATAGTAAACTATAGTTAACTATAGTAAATTTTTGTAAGGCTACAGCTACAGAACCATATCTTAGCTAAAGAACCATATCTTAGCTGCAGAACTGTAGCTCTCTTAGGAAAGAAATACCAGAGTATGGAAAACATGAGTAAGCGTTAAATGATATGTTTTATTAAAGGATACCATGCTTTATGCAGGGGAATGTAGATCAATTCAAGAAACAAAAATCGAAGCTTGTGACCAAAAAGTGATTTTTACAAGGAATGCATCTGTGGGTCTCTGTTAGGTCTGTCCTAATTTTCTTTTCTAGTTAGCTACAGTTCTGTAGCTAGAATTCAATTCAGAATAATGTTGTTTTGAACATTATTGTTTGTTTACAAGTTCTTAGCGAATGTAACAGAACAATAATGTTCAAAACTGTATTTTTCTAAATTGATTTCTATCGCAGAACTTTAGCTTAGAGAGAAAATTCGGACAGATAGATACCAGAGACCTACATAAAACATATCTAGATAATGTAGATTCCTTATTTCTCGCGGGTACTTATTTTCGCGAAATGGCACTTTAACGGAAAATCGCGAGAACAATAATTCGCGAGTGGACGGTTGATCAAGGCATTTTACATTGATTTCAGTACCATAAAAAATAAAAGCGAGTAATTTTTTTTCGCGAGTGGTGCTTCTCGCGTAATTACGCGTATATTAAGGAATCTACAGCAATCAAAAAGCTACAAAGCTCATCTCAGCGAATGTTATCTATAAGTAACAGCGGAGTAGGGCAAAGTTTTGCACAAAACAAATGTTCTTGTCCTGTGCATCCCCAGATGTAGCACCTATGCAAGTTTGGTCTGGGTTGGATTTAAAGTAAACTTGGAATGGACCTGCTCCAAAAACGTCAATCACCTGGAAAATGCAAGTCAGCTCAAGCATCCAAAGCATGTCAAATCTTGTAGGTATTCGGATGAATGGACTTGCTTCAAAAACTAAAACCTATTCAATCATCCAGAAAATATAGGCCAAATTCAGTATCTGAAGCAAGTCTGGTAGTACATTATCCATGCATGGTCTCCATTTGGCTTATAGTTTCTATGAGATGGACCTGCATCAAAAAACTCTACTTAGATTTTTATCCAGAAATTGTATGCAAGATCCTGGCAGCATATGAACCAGTCTGATAGTAAGCATCCCTAGATGCATTATCAACGCAATTAAGTTAAGTCACCATATCTCTTTATAAATATAAATACTTGGGAATGAACCTGCTTCAAAAATTTTAACCTGTTCATGCAATCACAAAAAATATAGTTCTGACCCAGCGTCCGAAGCAAGTCTGAAAGTGTATATTCCTTGACGCAACATCCATGTTTGGTCCAGGTAGGGCTTATAGTTACTAGGGAATAAACCTGCTTGAAAAAACTATCTCATCTAGAAAATGCAGGATTCAGTAACCGATGCAAGTCTGTTAGCTTTCCTCCTTAGATATCATGCTAGGTAGGATTTATATTTACTTGAGAATGAACCTGTTCCACAAACTTGAACCTGTTCAATAATCTGGAATATGTTTGTTATAGATCCAGCATTTGTACCAAGTCTGGTAGTGTGCATTCCTAAATGAATTATCCATGCAAATTTAATCATCAAAAGGCTTTAAGTTACATGGGGATGAGACCTGATCCTAAACCTTGAACCTGCTCAAAAAAAAGATGAGTTTGTAAAACACTGATGCCCCCGTATGGCAGCTTACGGCAAAGGTTAAAGTTTCTCAAATGCAAGTCAAACTCCAAGATCAAGAGATGAAAAATGTTATTTCCCAAAAAAAGGGCTTGTGTCAATGGGTAAACCTGGTAAATATGAAAGCCCAAGCACCAATCATCCAAAAGTTATGGTCAAAGTTAAAATTTTCTATATTTTCTTAAAGTGGGTCAAACTCCAAGGTCAAGGTCAAAATTAATGGTACGCAGGGGGAGACCTTGTCATGAGAAATACACATGCAAAATATAAAAGCTCTAGCGCCAACTGTTGAACGGTTATTGCAGAAAACTTTAAAGTTTTTCAAAAGTAGGTCAAAATCCAAGGTCAAATATTGGCATCCAAAGAAAAGTCTTGTCACAAGGAACATGCCTGTAAAATTTGAAAGTCCTAGTGCTAACTGTTCAAAAGTTATTGCCAAGGTTAAAGTTTTTTAAAAAGTGGGTCAAACTCTAAGGTCAAGGTCAAAAGATCAAATATATCTCCCACCCATGGAAAGGTCTTGTCATGATAAATACACATAAGAATTATGCAAGCCCTAGCACTAGCTGTTCAAAAGTTATGGCCAAGGTTAAAGTTGGGTAAATGTTTGCAAAAGTGGGTCAAACTCCAAGGTCAAGAGGTCAATTATGTTGGTACCCAAAGGAAAGTCTTGTTAAAAGAAATACACATGTGAAATATGAAAGCCATGGCTCTAGCCAATCAAAGTTATGGGCAAGGTTAAAGTTTATGCGGACAAACAGATAAACTAAACAGCTAGACAGACTGACAGACAGACGGACGGACAGGACAAAAACTATATACCACTGAATCTTCGATTACGGGGGCATAAAAATAATGATCAAAAAATTTATATATAAAAAAAAAAAACAAGATGTGTTTTTGAAACACTGATGCCTCCGTATGGAAGCCTATGGCGAAGGTTAAAGTTTCTCAAATGCAAGTCAAACTCCAGGTCAAAAGATCAAAAAAAATGTTGGTACCCAGAGAAAGGTCTTGTCTCGAAGAATAAACATGTGAAATATGAAAGCCCTAAAACCACATTAAAAAGTTATGGCGAAGGTTAAAATTTTTCAAAATTAAGTAAAACATTGAGGTCAAGGTGAAATGGTGCCCAACGGAAGGTCTTGTCACAAGTGATACACATGTACGTGAAATATGAAAGCCTTAGAACCAAATGTTTAAATGTTATGGCCAAGGTTGAATGTTTTTTAAAGTGAGTCAAACTCCAAGGTCAAGGTCAAAAGGCCAAAATTGTTGGTATCCAAAGGAAGGTCTTGTTACAAGGAATACACAAGTGAAGTAAAAAAAGCCCTAGCACCATCAGTTTAAAAGTTACGGCCAAGGTTAAAGTTTTTTATAAAGTAGGTCAAAATTCAAGGTTAAGGTCAAACGGTCAAAATTGTTGGTATCCGAAGGAAGGTCTTGTCACAAGTGAAGTTTGAAAACCCTAGCACCAGCTGCTCAAAAGTTATGGCTAAGGTTAAAGTCCGATAAAAGGAGATGGGTGAACAAGGCGCGCAGAATGTCTATAGCTTCAGATATATAAAAATCATAATCAGTTTGTGAATTAAGTATTTAGAGTTAAGTGCTCATTATTGAGATTCATGAAATTATGATAAACAAAACATTTCTGAGGAAAATTTTCTCGGAAAAAATTATTGTTTAAAAAAAAAATAATGTGGTATTCGTGGGGTTCGAACCCTGGCAATAAAATCTTGAGTACCATTTTCCTTTAAGACTAAGACGCTAACCATTGCGCTTCAGCTCTTGGCAATTTGTGGTATTTAAATCATCTTTGTTATATGACCCTTGACTAAATGGACTTCAAGTATTTCTCGAAAAGATGCGAATGTTGTGTCATAAAAGTGTATTTTTAAGGTATAGTGGGTCTTTGCTCCATGTTTTTGTTGACCAGAAAATGTATATTTTTTCGCCAACTTTGAAGATAAACTTTGAAAAATATGGAGCAAAGACACACTCATATCGAAAAATTGTGTTTTAATATGAGAAAATGATCCTTCTTGCCATCTGTAGTGTGTGTATGCTATTTCATAGGCAAATATTTTCAATCTTAGAGAGATTATTGCAAATTGTGGAGATTTTACATAAAGTATACTTTAATTTTAGATGAAATAGCAAAGAAAATTTTGTTTTAATTGAGATTTAATTTTTCACCTTCATGTTTGTTGCACTATAGGCACTGCGCTCGCCTTGTTCGCCCATCTTCTTTAGCAAAAGTGGATCAAACTCCAAGGTCAAGGTCAAAAGGTCAAATTTGATGGTACACAAAGAAAGGTCTTGTCACAAGGAATGCACAATTGAAATATGAAAGCCATAGCTCAAACCGATCAAAAGTTATAAGCAAGGTTAAAGTCTTTGAGGACAAACAGACAGACAGACAGCTAGACAGACAAATAGACAGCTACACAGACAGATGGACGGACAGGGCAAAAACTATATGTCCCCGAATCGATTACGGGGGCATAAAAAAATAAATAAATTGTTCCTAAAACATAAAGATAATTTTTCATCTGAAAAATATATGCTGAAAATGCCAGTTGAAACCTGGATGAGTGGCACAATGAAATATTCTACATCCATCATCCAGGCAACCCTGATTAATATATTGGACATAATTTTGGAAAGAAAACTGCTTTAATAACTTCAACCTTGGACGCCGACACCGACGGTATAAATAAACTCCCCTGACTTCGTCAAAAATGGCCAAAAAAATCTCATTGGTAGCCCTATTAAGAAGTTAAATTATGCTCTGTATTTCATAGCTAGTACCTAGCTACGCCGAGTAAGTGAGTATAATTTACTTTTTCAAAAACGTGGCTTTTCTTGTATTCACAAACTTGACAAAGCATTAGAATGTTTGAAAACTTTCACTTCATTTTTTCCGCATGTCCAAAGAGTGTTGTTTTCATTTCTGCATATTCCAACGTCATAATGTAGCCCTGTCTTTTCACATTTTGTAAGCAAGAAAGTGACAAAGTTCCCGTCTTGATCAATCATGTGGATACTGTTATACTCATTTATGACTAGAATCCGTCCGTGGACATCGGTACAGATTCCTCGTGGGTAGAAATTCGATTCTTCTTGTTGTCCCCTGTAAGTGAACCGGTGAATCCCGTCTTTGTCCACCACCACTACAGCGTTATTTGGATATCCATCTGACGTGCAGATATCGCTGTTTAAGTTTTCTGTTATGTAAAGAGGAGATTGATAAAGAGGATCACCCTTAGCGTTAAACTGAATCGGCCACGGCTCGTTTCCCTCCTTGGCGTACCGGACCACTCTGGCCAACATACTTTGATACAATCCTACTAGAATGTCACCGTTCCTAGGAGAAGAGAAGATACATACTGGCTTCCAATCTCCTGTGACAATGAAGGTGGTTTTCATTCTCAGTGATGTATACTTCTTGATGCTGTTGTTTAATTGATCGACGTAAAGTAAATCACCTTCCATAGTTACTGTGTGACAACCGTGCTGATTATTTTTTTGGGTGGTGTTTATCTTGCCTAAGACTTCACCAGTATCATCTGTGAGAAGAATCTGGCCATCCTTATTTCCTATCCATAATTTGTTATTTGGGACATATGAAATATGCCTTGCATCAGAAAAAGGCAGCTTGAATGCAGTACTTATTGGTTTGGACTCGACATGATTTTTGTCTTCTTGAAGCAATGTTTCTGCAGGAATGTACAATTTTCCAAGCAGTTTTGACACGTTGTCTTCATTTATATTTTCTCTGAGATAAATTGGCCTTTTTAACTTTGTTTCTTCAAATTCCATGACATCGGACTCGAAAATCTCTTTTCGCAGCATCAATTTCTCGTAAGGTCCTCGCATCTTATCTTCATAGTTATCAATTAACTGTTCATTTTTTGTAATATATCCTGATATGAGGTTTGCCTGCCTTTCCAAGTCATTGTTCATTCGCTTTTCCTCATAATCGAAACGTTGTAGGTTTTTCTCCACAATTACGTCCACTAAATCTTTTAGCTTCTTTGCGTCATCTTGCAATTGTGATCTAATTTTGGAGATTTCTTCTTTTGATTCAACTTTTTCTTCACACAAAGTGGATAGAGTATCCCGCCAGTTTGGAATGATGGCCTTTTTGATGTTCTGAATCTTAATATTGCAACGCTTTTCTGATTCCTTTAATGCGTCGTTAATGTTTTTGAACGTATGACTTCGGTGGTCTTCTTTCATGCATCTTGAACAGACTGGTAGTTTGCATAACTCACAGGCCATTTCATAGCAAAATTCTGGATGAATGCGACAGGACTCTGTTTTTGGGGTTGCTGACTGCCTGTCCTGGTACAGAACAATAGCATGAAATGTAGTGGTGTCGCTTTTAATGTGGTGGTCGCGACATGTCAGACACAGTCGCTCAGAACAAATGTAACAATAACTAGATGAGATCTCGTTGCGAGCAACGAGTGGGTCTTCCGTCCGATTTTCCATTCGATGACATAAGAATTTGACTCAGATTTTCGTCAAAAACTAGTGATATAAATAAATTGTTAAGACAAACAATTTTCCTTCAGTAATGTGTGACAAAATATTGATCATTAAAAAGTCATGGATTAAAAACTTTCGGCCTTTCTTGGCCCCTATTTTGAGGGACCAGCCCCTTTTTCTACATACCACTTTAAAGCTCTTATGATTTTGAACACTTTTTGTTCAACAACTATTCAGAAATTCTTTTTCGTTTCCGAGCTATATGAAAAAGATATATTTAGGGGCCAGCCCTTCAACTTCTTAATGGGGACCTTTAGCAAAAATCAAAAGGTTAAATATTGTTTAGAACATTATTTTGAACATCTTTTATTCAATATTGCTTATCAAAATATTTCCCACTTTCGAGATATAGAGTGCCAAAGATTTGGCCTTCTGGCCCCTTATGGCCCCTAATTATGTAACATGTGATGTGAATATTATAATATATAGTTGAAAATTGTTGAAGTAAACATTTCTGCTTCAGTAATGAATTACAAAATATTGATCGTTAAAGAGTTATTGAATAAAGACTTTCGGCCCCTCCTGGCCCCTATTTTGAGGGGCCAGCCCCTTTTTCTTCATACCACTTTAAAGCTTTTATGATTTTGAACACTTTTTGTTCAACAACTATTCAGAAATTCTTTATCGTTTCCGAGCTATATGAAAAAGATATATTTAGGGGCCAGCCCTTCAACTCCTTAATGGGGACCTTTAGCGAAAATCAAAAGGTTAAATATTGTTTAGAACATTATTTTGAACATCTTTTATTCAATATTGCTTATCAAAATATTTCCCACTTTCGAGATATAGAGTGCCAAAGATTTGGCCTTCTGGCCCCTTATGGCCCCTAATTATGTAACATGTGATGTAAATATTATGATATATAGTTGAAAATTGTTGAGGTAAACATTTCTGCTTCAGTAATGAATTACAAAATATTGATCGTTAAAGAGTTATTGATTAAAGACTTCCGGCCCCTCCTGGCCCCTATTTTGAGGGGCCAGCCCCTTTTTCTTCATACCACTTTAAAGCTTTCATGATTTTGAACACTTTTTGTTCAACAACTATTCAGAAATTCTTTTTCGTTTCCGAGCTATATGAAAAAGATATATTTAGGGGCCAGCCCTTCAACTCCTTAATGGGGACCTTTAGCAAAAATCAAAAGGTTAAATATTGTTTAAAAATTATTTTGAACATCTTTTATTCAATAATGCTTATCAAATCATTTTCAACTTTCGAGATACAGAGTGCCAAAGATTTGGCCTTCTGGCCCCTTATGGCCCCTTATTGTGTAACATATGACATAAATATTAAAATATATAGTTGTAAATTGTTAAGATAAACATTTTTGCTTCAGTAATGTATACCAAAATATTGATCGTTAAAGAGTTATTGATTTAATACTTTTGGCCCCTCTCGGACCCTAATATGACAAGACAGCCCTTTTTTCTTGATTTCATATTAAAGATCTTGTCATTCTGCACAAATATTGTTCAACATGTTTTTACAAAATAATTATACTTTAAAAGATATGATACAAAATGTCTCGAAAATTCACTCGTGATTCGTGTCCTAAATTTCGACCTCTACCGAGCTTCCATACTAGGCACTTCCGGAAAATATCCAAACCCAGGTGCAAAATGGCAACATGTCCTCTATCATCACTGAAAATTTCAGCGCTCTAGCTTAAGCCGTTTTTGAGTTCCATCGCAGACAAGGAGGTCCTCTAAATTTTGATAAAAGGGCGATAACTTTCGACCGGAAGTGAATTTAAAAAAATTGTTTAGCCGGAATTAACTTCAGATGTCAACGCATCTACCATGAAAATTTGAATAAAATCGAATCAGCCATCTCCGAGAAATCTTCTGCACAAATTTTGTAAAGAAAAAAAAGAATAATAACTAGATGAGATCTCGTTGCGAGCAACGAGTGGGTCTTCCGTCCGATTTTTGGTAAGATGAGATAAGAATTTGACTGAGATTTTCGTCCAAATATAATGATATAAATAAATAGTTATGACGAACAATTTTGCTTTAATAATGTTTTACAAAATATTGATTATTAAAGGAATACAGATTAAAGAGTTTCGCCCCTTCTTGGCCCCTAATGTGAGAGGTCAGCCCCTTTTTCTTGATATCATTTTTTATTGATTTTATACTTTCGGCCTCTCTCAGCCCCTTATTTAATGGGTGAGACCCTTTTCATTGACATAACCTTAAAGCTCTCATGATTTTGAACACTTTTTGTTCAACAACTATTCAAAAATTCTTTTTCGTTTCCAAAATATATGCAAAGGATATATTTAGGGGCCGGTCCTTCAACTCCTTAATGGGGACGTTTAGCAAAAAATGAAAGGTTGCATATTGTTTAGAACATTATTTTGAACATCTTTTGTTCAATATTGCTTATCAAAATATTTTATACTTTTAAGATATAAAGCGTCAAAGATCTGGCATTCTGGCCCCTTATGGCCCCTAATTATGTAACATATGATGTAAATATCATAATATATAGTTGTAAATTGTTGAGATAAACATTTTTGCTTCAGTAATGCATTACAAAATATTGATCGTTAAAGAGTAATTGTTCAAAGACTTTCGGTCCCTCTCAGCCCCTATTGTGAGGGTCCAGCCCCTTTTTCTTCATATCACTTTAAAGATCTCATAATTTTGAACACTTTTTGTTCAACAACTAGTCAGAAATTCTTTTTCGTTTCTAAGATATTTGCAAAAGAAGTATTTAGGGGCCGATCCTTCAACTCCTTTATGGGGACGTTTAGCAAAAAATGAAAGGTTGCATATTGTTTAGAACATTATTTTGAACATCTTTTGTTCAATATTGCTTATCAAAATATTTCATACTTTTAAGATATAAAGCGTCAAAGATTTTGTATTCTGACCCCTTATGGTCCCTAATTATGTAACATTTGATGTAAATATTATAATATATAGTTGTAAAGTGTTGAGATAAACATTTTTGCTTCAGTAATGCATTACAAAATATTGATCGTTAAAGAGTAATTGATCAAAGACTTTCGGCCCCTCTCAGCCCCTATTTTGAGGGTCCAGCCCCTTTTTCTTCACATCATTTTAAAGCTCTCATGATTTTGAACACTTTTTGTTCAATAATTAGTCAGAAATTCTTTTTCGTTTCTGAGATATTTGCAAAAGAAGTATTTAGGGGCCGATCCTTCAACTCCTTAATGGGGACGTTTAGCAAAATAATGAAAGGTTGCATATTGTTTAGAACATTATTTTGAACATCTTTTGTTCAATATTGCTTATCAAAATATTTCATAGTTTTAAGATATAAAGCGTCAAAGATTTTGTATTCTGGCCCCTTATGGCCCCTAATCATGTAACATATGACATAAATATTATAATAAATAGTTGTAAATTGTTAAGATAAACATTTTTGCTTCAGTAATGTATACCAAAATATTGTTTGTTAAAGAGTTATTGATTTAATACTTTTGGCCCCTCTCGGCCCCTAATATGATAAGTCAGCCCTTTTTTCTTGATATCATATTAAAGATCTTGTCATTCTGCACAAATATTGTTCAGGATGTCTTAACAAAATAATTATACTTTAAAAGATATGATACAAAATGTCTCAAAAATTCACTCATGTTTCGTGTCCTAAATTTTGACCCCTACCGAGCTTTCATACTAGGCACTTCCGGAAAATATCCAAACCCAGGTGCAAAATGGCAACATGTCCTTTATCATCACTGAAAATTTCAGCGCTCTAGCTTAAGCCGTTTTTGAGTTCCATCACAGACAAGGAGGTCCTCTAAATTTTGATAAAAGGGCGATAACTTCCGACCGGAAGTTAATATCCCTTAACGGAATTGCCGGAATTAACTTCAGATGTCAACGCATCTACCATGAAAATTTGAATGAAATTGAACAAGCCATCTCCGAGAAATCGTCTGCACAAAATTTGTAAGAAGAAAAAAGAATAAAAATAATAATAATAAAAGTGAAAAAGAAACCGAAGAATAATAGAAGGGTCTTCCGCTGAAGACGGAAGACTCTAATAATAATAATAAAGGTAAAAAAGAAACCGAAGAATAATAGAAGGGTCTTCCGCTGAAGACGGAAGACCCTAATATTCCGCGCTTCGTTCACATAGCGCACACTGCACATAGTGTTGGGCAAACCTTATGTCTCGTTTCAACATCTGTAAATTTAACGATGGAGTCAGATTTTCAACAATATTAGAAGACAAATATTTAATACATGTTGTTTCTGAGTATCTTAGGTTCAACCAAGAAAGATTATAGAACTGCTCTCTCTCTCTCTCTCTCTCTCTCTCTCTCTCTCTCTCTCAACAGGGTGTTTCAGACAACCATTTTGACAGGTTACATTTTACTCGTGTTTCATCCAATATCATCCACCAACATGTTAGATAAAAAGGCACAGTTTCAAAATTTATTCCTATAAAAATGAAATTAATCCGGCAAATAGATAATGAGTTACGAAATCATAAAGAAAACCTTTAAAATTTCAACTAGTTATAAAATATGTTCTAAATGACGTCATTTTTGCTAAATGAATACATATAAATGTAATCGATGCAGGAAATTTCTCATAACCATAACTAGTCACAAAATTTCTTTGTTATGACCCTTGACCTTTTTTTTTTTTTTTTTTTTTACAATTTTGATTTCATGTGTGGTGATGGGATGTATTCTATAAACAATGACTTTTAAAATTTAATGTCCCCAGAGATAAAAGTCAAGGGGGTTA